TTTTTCACTATATCTTAAGGTCAGATTTAGTATTGGTTAAATTAGTTTAAACGTTTAAATAGGTTATAATGAACTTATTACTATCATCAGTATGACAGTAGTATTGGTGAAATTAGTTTAAACGTTTAAATAGGTTATAATGAACTTATTACTATCATCAGTATGACAGTAGTAATAGTTCAATAGTTCAAGTCTTTGTTTTCCTCGCCCTACATGGGAACGATTTTATTATATTAACTGACGTCCAAAAGAAACTTTAACAACTAAAAATATAAATTTCAGACAAAGTATAAAATCTTTTTCGATGAAGTCTATCTAATACACATAACCTAAATACAACAATAGTGTATGCAGAAAATGTTAATCGTCTGTTACATGTTTGCGAGATAACACGCGAAAAAGTGAAAAACACGTGCACCACGGACAACTGCAAATGCACGTGCGGGTAAGGGTATAAAACGATTGCAACGGCAAGTCAGACATCCACAGTGATAAAAAAACCCACAAAAGAAATGCCACGACTCACAGTCGAATAACGTGAACGAGCCTTGGGTATGGTACAGATGGGAGCTACCCACGCCCATATTGCACGAACCTTCGGTTGCTCCCGTGTTGCCGTTACCAACTTGATGCAACGTTACAGACAGACAGGGCGGACCGCTGACAGGCCAAGAACAGGCAGACCCAGAGTGACCACGCCCTATGATGACCGGTACTTGCTTACCTTGCACCTCCGAAATCGCTTCCTGACAGTGACGACAAATGCCTTAGGTCACAGGGTTAGTCGACAGACAGTGGCCAGGAGACTCAGGGCTCGTGGAATCAGGGCTTTTAGACCATACAGAGGACAGCTATTGACAGCGCAACATCGTCGTCTGCGATTGAGATGGGCCCGGTCTGTACGACGTTGGCAACGACGTGACTGGCAGAGGGTTGTCTTCACTGACGAAAGTCGATTCTGTATGTTTAGGGCTGATGGAAGACAACGTGTTTACCGCCGAAGGGGTGAACGAACGGCGGCGTGTTGCGTGCAGGAGGTCGTGCCATATGGTGGAGGGAGTGTCATGGTGTGGGGAGGGATCTGTGGGCAGGAGAGGACACCGCTGGTCATCGTTGACGGAAACTTGACAGTTCAGCGTTCCATGGATAACATTCTTCGTCCAGTTGTCCTACCATTTCTCCAACAGCAGCCACGTGGTGTCATTTATCAGCATGACAACGCTAGAGCCCATACAGCCAGAATTGTCACTAACTTCCTCGCAGCCAACAACGTCAACGTCAACGTCCTGCCGTGGCCTGCACGCTCACCCGACATGTCCCCCATAGAACACCTCTGGGACTTGATGGATCGTCGTGTTCGACAACGACCACACTTTTCAGCCAACCGGCAAGAACTGATCTTGGCCCTCCAAGAAGAATGGCGTCAAATCCCACGTGACCTCATCAGATGACTGACTTTTTCTGTGCGTCGAAGAGTTTGCGTGTATTGAGGCATTTGGTGGTCACACACGCTACTAATGACTTGTTATTGAACGTGAACGATTGTTTATGTACTCTGCCTATTGTCCATGATTCTGAAAGCTCGAGTTTTGTACCACACCCGACTTTGGGGGGCTCTGACGTCATTCTCGGTCGCGGTATGATTGTCATTTTCAGTGTTGATTATGTTGATATATTGATCTTCTCAATACACTTTACTTCAGGCATGTATGTTTTGTTGTTTTTGAGCAAGAGTGATTTCAAACTCTGGTAAAGTTTCTTTTGGGCGTCAGTTTATATGTTACCCTTGTAGTGTGTGTATTTTTGGTTGACATTGCTCGCAAAGGTACATGTTCCCGGTATCAATACTATGAGTGTTTTGCGTTCTACACATACACACATGAACAGAATCAATCACTTATATGTAATAAAACACCCTTCAGATTTACATTAACTTCATAATGATTCCTATCACCTTCAAATCTAGTATATTCTATAATAAATAAACAATGTTATTCGGTTATCTGCTGCAATACTGAATTTTAAGGGTCGCGTCCATATGTTAAACATTTAGAGACTGTAAATATGTGTTTAGGTATAATACAGGTGCTTAACATACTTATCCTCTAAACGTGCCTTGGATTAATGTTTCAGTCCCAAAAGGAACAAAGTGTTTGGGTGTTTTAAATCAACAGATTAATGGGGGCGAGAGTGCCAACTACTAATGTATATACAAAGATAATATTAGATGTCTAATTATTTGCTGAGATAATGATAAGGATAAGATCTTATGCAAATTATTTGCTCTCACTTAATGATACACTGTTTGGGACAGAAGCTTCAATGGCGAAATTGTAAGAGCTGAGATAATCGAGAGTGGTTATTCTCTGTAATATATTTGTACGTGAAAAGCAGTTGCATGCTGGTAATTGTGATCTAGAAGAACATTGTGAAACAATACGTGGTATTCTTAGGGAGATGTCTGGTTAGAAGACAACTTTCTCCATATTGCTGACACATATTGAAATGTTGAAGAACTGGTCAGTTTGGATTGAGCCCCCAAGAAGTGTCCCTAAACTCCTGCTCTACAAGTAAAAGACACCAGTCACCCTGGACGGCCTAGGCTATGTCAAGGCTTCCAACACTGACAAGGCAGCTACAATGCTCCCACCTACAGAAGATGCTTTCAAGCAACACATAATCTGCAGTGACAGGTCATATGTCGTCTACAGAAAGAGTCCTTGCCTCCTGGCTGGACTGCCACGTACAGAACACGGCCCAGCTCTGGCTGCCAAAACTCTGCACATGATGGTGAACCTGGAGGCTTGAGTGACAACGGCAGTGACTAGATGCAAGTTTCTGCATTGGAGAAAAAGAACGGATTTGTTACTGAGTTACTGATAATATTAAAGCAATTGCAGATAAGTGCTTTACATTGACACTTCAAAGTAAGTCAATATGATCAGCAGTTATAGTATATAACATCGGCGATATTAACATGATAGATAGAATTGCCGGTCGAAACCTAAATTTTGACATTTAAACTTCTCATACATTCCGAAGTGAAGATGAACTATTATCATTTTCCTGTTTTGGCGGCCATCTTGGGGGCCATATTGGATAAAACAATTTTTTCAAGCTCATATATGTAAGATGCTTAAACGGTTCATGTGTTGAAATAAAACAATTTGGTTACAATAATTTTAGTGTTGTCATAGTAAATGGTTTTAATTGGTAATTATATATATATTTTTTTAACAGGATGGGGGGAGGGATAACATTTACTAAATTTTCATACATTCATATATACCTACATTAATTGTGGAATTCTGTATAAGCCCCTAAATCATTCAGGCAGATATTGAGATATCACACGACATGATTGTCAATATAGACGTTACATTATCTTCAGATAGGTCGCAGCATGGACACTGACCCTTCCTGACTACAAAATTGTTGATGTTGGAGTGGTTAGAACAGGCTTGCTCTCCGAACTGTAATTATTTTTAACTTGGGGAGGAATTCCTGAATGACAATATCCTTGTCATCTGCAGGATGGTTGTGTATATCGCGCTATACGTTGTGATAAGGTTGTATAAGTGTTGAGTGCACAGTAACTGACAGAATAGCGAGCGCCAAAAAGGATCATCTCAAAACATAAATAATTAAATTCATACTGTGAATCACTACTGGCTGAATCTACAGATATGACAATGCTGACTTGGCCAGGCCATTCCTTGATCAGTAGGCCAGCTCCATGTTACTATAAATGTCTACTGTTTCCACACATCTCTATCCCAGGTTGCAACACTCACCTAGCCAAGCGATCCTTCACACCTTACATCATGACCACTCCGTTTGAACGTAGTGTCAGTGTACTTTACCGACATCACCTTTGACAATATCACAATGATATGGCAGTGAACGCACTATGTCATAACCACGCTGCCTCATATAGCTGTCAACCTCATAATAAGGCACTGTTTTATTAGTATTTATAATTGCATAGTTTAGTAGCCTTTTTCGGCAATGCACTATTGTTCCTTGAAGCAATGACACCATATTGACTTTACAGTATGTGACTTTTGATGAATGTGCTCTATCTGATTTTTTGCAATTTTCTCAAAGACACAAACTTGTCTCAAATAAAACTTCTGTAAATCTCTACGTATTACTATTCTTTGAAAACTTTTAGTGATTTTGATTTGGCCCCCTCCCCTTGCTTGCCTGTCATCCTTTCCCCTTTCCCCTTTCCCCTTTCCCCACGCCGAAGACCCGGCTTCATTTCCACACATGGATACACTGTGTGAAACCCATCTCACAATTGTATTAACTACAGCTGTCATTACTTTTTTCCAATTTTAAATAAATGTTGGCACAATATGGCATAAATTTTATACTGAAAATGTCTTACTATCTGCAAAACATTTATAAACAGGTGCAGTGGTAAATAAATAATCCTCATCTGTTTTTTTCCCCATTAAAGTCACAATGCTGAATCAGATGTAAAATAAATTGGTATGTGTGTAAAAAACCCAACTCTATCAACGCATTCCTCAATAGTTAGGCTCCGAACGATTCGGCCACCCCTTATGTATACACTTACCAAGTAAATTTATATCAATATTGTTCATAAAACCCAAAAGTGTAGAAGGAAACGACGTGTATCAATAATTCTGATTCAACTTATTTACAAACATTTATAAAATTGAAGAAAGTGCAAAGAGACTTGCCCAATGTGTTTCTCATACCTAGCGACCGCATCCATGTATGTGAGACTGCTTCAATGCAGTAGACTTGGACACCACGAATCGACGCTCGATCTTCTTCGATAATCAACTATTTCAGGAAAGAAACTATTCAATGAATTATAATCCTACTTTCGACCAGGAAAAGACAATTCCTTTATTTTTACGGGTTCTGGCCCTGAGGCAAGCAAGAAGTCCAACGGAGTGCGATCATTATGCTAACTATTATACTTTTTACGATAACAATCATGTACAACAATTTCACTCAACACCAAACGTTGTGACGCTTTATTATTAACAGTCACCCTAGTGGCGTACATTAATAAAATTCGAAAACTTAGATGCGTTTTAGCTTTAACTAATAACACAAGGAAGCCATCAGCTTCATGTGCTGAGGTTTTATCACTGACTTTATTCGCACACACATCAGTGAGGAGACTTGTAATGCGGCCAGGTCTGAATGAGGTCATAAAACTTCTGACCAGGGCAGGCTGTTTGTCTGACGTCACGGTGGCCGTAGATCACATAGTCGGTGCGGATTTTGCCGTTGTCTACGCCGCACTTGATTAGCTGCTTTAAAGCGTTGAGCGCATCCGCATTTGGAATGTGATCAGTGAAATCTCCAATTACACAGAACCCTGAAAGTAACGGCTGATGAGGGGAATAGCTGATGGGGTATAGCATAATAAGGTATATAATAATATTAATGCCTGCTATCCTAAACTTGAACATTATCTTGTTTTTAACACACTTTATCAACATGTTAACGTCGTGTGAGCGAGACTTCCTGATTACTTTGTAATAACAAGTATATATGCGCAGCAAGTACTACATGCTTCTTTCTTTTCCACTCAATTAAAATTCAAAACAATGGAACAATGCACACGATCCGGATAGTGCATTCTCACGTAATATCGGGTGTGACAAAAGACAGCATACACTTGAAAATTGAATTTTACCCCAAAATTACAAACGTTATCAAAATGATACTATGTTGTAAACAGTCACCGAAACACTGCAAACTTAAGGTCAATAACTGTGATACCATCAACGTCGGGTAACCATTTCTTGTTTTTGTGTTTCGCCATCATCAAACATGGGTGTATACTCTCCATTGCCCCGTACTCTATGTACTTCAGAGATGCCATCATTAAACATGGGTGTATACTCTCCATTGCCCCGTACTCTATATACTTCAGAGATGTCATCATCAAACATGGGTGTATACTCTCCATTGCCCCGTACTCTATATACTTCAGAGATGTCATCATTAAACATGGGTGTATACTCTCCATTGCCCCGTACTCTATATACTTCAGAGATGTCATCATTAAACATGGGTGTATACTCTCCATTGCCCGGTACTCTATATACTTCAGAGATGCCATCATCAAACATGGGTGTATACTCTCCATTGCCACGTACTCTATGTATTTCAGAGATGCCATCATTAAACATGGGTGTATACTCTCCATTGCCCCGTACTCTATATACTTCAGAGATGCCATCATCAAACATGGGTGTATACTCTCCATTGCCCCGTACTCTATATACTTCAGAGATGCCATCATTAAACATGGGTGTATACTCTCCATTGCCCCGTACTCTATATACTTCAGAGATGTCATCATCAAACATGGGTGTATACTCTCCATTGCCCCGTACTCTATATACTTCAGAGATGCCATCATTAAACATGGGTGTATACTCTCCATTGCCCCGTACTCTATATACTTCAGAGATGTCATCATCAAACATGGGTGTATACTCTCCATTGCCCCGTACTCTATGTACTTCAGAGATGTCATCATCAAACATGGGTGTATACTCTCCATTGCCCCGTACTCTATATACTTCAGAGATGCCATCATTAAACATGGGTGTATACTCTCCATTGCCCCGTACTCTATATACTTCAGAGATGTCATCATCAAACATGGGTGTATACTCTCCATTGCCCCGTACTCTATATACTTCAGAGATGCCATCATTAAACATGGGTGTATACTCTCCATTGCCCCGTACTGTATGTACTTCAGAGATGTCATCATCAAACATGGGTGTATACTCTCCATTGCCCCGTACTCTATATACTTCAGAGATGTCATCATTAAACATGGGTGTATACTCTCCATTGCCCCGTACTCTATATACTTCAGAGATGTCATCATCAAACATGGGTGTATACTCTCCATTGCCCGGTACTCTATATACTTCAGAGATGCCATCATTAAACATGGGTGTATACTCTCCATTGCCACGTACTCTATGTATTTCAGAGATGCCATCATTAAACATGGGTGTATACTCTCCATTGCCCCGTACTCTATATACTTCAGAGATGCCATCATCAAACATGGGTGTATACTCTCCATTGCCCCGTACTCTATATACTTCAGAGATGCCATCATTAAACATGGGTGTATACTCTCCATTGCCCCGTACTCTATATACTTCAGAGATGTCATCATCAAACATGGGTGTATACTCTCCATTGCCCCGTACTCTATATACTTCAGAGATGCCATCATTAAACATGGGTGTATACTCTCCATTGCCCCGTACTCTATATACTTCAGAGATGTCATCATCAAACATGGGTGTATACTCTCCATTGCCCCGTACTCTATGTACTTCAGAGATGTCATCATCAAACATGGGTGTATACTCTCCATTGCCCCGTACTCTATATACTTCAGAGATGCCATCATTAAACATGGGTGTATACTCTCCATTGCCCCGTACTCTATATACTTCAGAGATGTCATCATCAAACATGGGTGTATACTCTCCATTGCCCCGTACTCTATATACTTCAGAGATGCCATCATTAAACATGGGTGTATACTCTCCATTGCCCCGTACTCTATGTACTTCAGAGATGTCATCATCAAACATGGGTGTATACTCTCCATTGCCCCGTACTCTATATACTTCAGAGATGTCATCATTAAACATGGGTGTATACTCTCCATTGCCCCGTACTCTATATACTTCAGAGATGTCATCATCAAACATGGGTGTATACTCTCCATTGCCCGGTACTCTATATACTTCAGAGATGCCATCATTAAACATGGGTGTATACTCTCCATTGCCCCGTACTCTATATACTTCAGAGATGCCATCATTAAACATGGGTGTATACTCTCCATTGCCCCGTACTCTATATACTTCAGAGATGCCATCATTAAACAGGGGTGTATACTCTCCATTGCCCGGTACTCTATATACTTCAGAGATGCCATCATCAAACATGGGTGTATACTCTCCATTGCCCCGTACTCTATATACTTCAGAGATGCCATCATTAAACATGGGTGTATACTCTCCATTGCCCCGTACTCTATATACTTCAGAGATGTCATCATCAAACATGGGTGTATACTCTCCATTGCCCCGTACTCTATATACTTCAGAGATGCCATCATCAAACATGGGTGTATACTCTCCATTGCCCCGTACTCTATATACTTCAGAGATGCCATCATTAAACATGGGTGTATACTCTCCATTGCCCCGTACTCTATATACTTCAGAGATGTCATCATCAAACATGGGTGTATACTCTCCATTGCCCCGTACTCTATATACTTCAGAGATGCCATCATTAAACATGGGTGTATACTCTCCATTGCCCCGTACTCTATATACTTCAGAGATGTCATCATCAAACATGGGTGTATACTCTCCATTGCCCCGTACTCTATGTACTTCAGAGATGTCATCATCAAACATGGGTGTATACTCTCCATTGCCCCGTACTCTATATACTTCAGAGATGCCATCATTAAACATGGGTGTATACTCTCCATTGCCCCGTACTCTATATACTTCAGAGATGTCATCATCAAACATGGGTGTATACTCTCCATTGCCCCGTACTCTATATACTTCAGAGATGTCATCATTAAACATGGGTGTATACTCTCCATTGCCCGGTACTCTATATACTTCAGAGATGCCATCATCAAACATGGGTGTATACTCTCCATTGCCACGTACTCTATGTATTTCAGAGATGCCATCATTAAACATGGGTGTATACTCTCCATTGCCCCGTACTCTATATACTTCAGAGATGCCATCATCAAACATGGGTGTATACTCTCCATTGCCCCGTACTCTATATACTTCAGAGATGTCATCATTAAACATGGGTGTATACTCTCCATTGCCCCGTACTCTATATACTTCAGAGATGTCATCATCAAACATGGGTGTATACTCTCCATTGCCCCGTACTCTATATACTTCAGAGATGTCATCATTAAACATGGGTGTATACTCTCCATTGCCCCGTACTCTATATACTTCAGAGATGTCATCATTAAACATGGGTGTATACTCTCCATTGCCCGGTACTCTATATACTTCAGAGATGCCATCATCAAACATGGGTGTATACTCTCCATTGCCACGTACTCTATGTATTTCAGAGATGCCATCATTAAACATGGGTGTATACTCTCCATTGCCCCGTACTCTATATACTTCAGAGATGCCATCATCAAACATGGGTGTATACTCTCCATTGCCCCGTACTCTATATACTTCAGAGATGCCATCATTAAACATGGGTGTATACTCTCCATTGCCCCGTACTCTATATACTACAGAGATGTCATCATCAAACATGGGTGTATACTCTCCATTGCCCCGTACTCTATATACTTCAGAGATGCCATCATTAAACATGGGTGTATACTCTCCATTGCCCCGTACTCTATATACTTCAGAGATGTCATCATCAAACATGGGTGTATACTCTCCATTGCCCCGTACTCTATGTACTTCAGAGATGTCATCATCAAACATGGGTGTATACTCTCCATTGCCCCGTACTCTATATACTTCAGAGATGCCATCATTAAACATGGGTGTATACTCTCCATTGCCCCGTACTCTATATACTTCAGAGATGTCATCATCAAACATGGGTGTATACTCTCCATTGCCCCGTACTCTATATACTTCAGAGATGCCATCATTAAACATGGGTGTATACTCTCCATTGCCCCGTACTCTATGTACTTCAGAGATGTCATCATCAAACATGGGTGTATACTCTCCATTGCCCCGTACTCTATATACTTCAGAGATGTCATCATTAAACATGGGTGTATACTCTCCATTGCCCCGTACTCTATATACTTCAGAGATGTCATCATCAAACATGGGTGTATACTCTCCATTGCCCGGTACTCTATATACTTCAGAGATGCCATCATTAAACATGGGTGTATACTCTCCATTGCCCCGTACTCTATATACTTCAGAGATGCCATCATTAAACATGGGTGTATACTCTCCATTGCCCCGTACTCTATATACTTCAGAGATGCCATCATCAAACATGGGTGTATACTCTCCATTGCCCCGTACTCTATATACTTCAGAGATGCCATCATTAAACATGGGTGTATACTCTCCATTGCCCCGTACTCTATATACTTCAGAGATGTCATCATCAAACATGGGTGTATACTCTCCATTGCCCCGTACTCTATATACTTCAGAGATGCCATCATTAAACATGGGTGTATACTCTCCATTGCCCCGTACTCTATATACTTCAGAGATGTCATCATCAAACATGGGTGTATACTCTCCATTGCCCCGTACTCTATGTACTTCAGAGATGTCATCATCAAACATGGGTGTATACTCTCCATTGCCCCGTACTCTATATACTTCAGAGATGCCATCATTAAACATGGGTGTATACTCTCCATTGCCCCGTACTCTATGTACTTCAGAGATGTCATCATCAAACATGGGTGTATACTCTCCATTGCCCCGTACTCTATATACTTCAGAGATGTCATCATTAAACATGGGTGTATACTCTCCATTGCCCCGTACTCTATATACTTCAGAGATGTCATCATCAAACATGGGTGTATACTCTCCATTGCCCGGTACTCTATATACTTCAGAGATGCCATCATTAAACATGGGTGTATACTCTCCATTGCCCCGTACTCTATATACTTCAGAGATGCCATCATTAAACATGGGTGTATACTCTCCATTGCCCCGTACTCTATATACTTCAGAGATGCCATCATTAAACAGGGGTGTATACTCTCCATTGCCCGGTACTCTATATACTTCAGAGATGCCATCATCAAACATGGGTGTATACTCTCCATTGCCCCGTACTCTATATACTTCAGAGATGCCATCATTAAACATGGGTGTATACTCTCCATTGCCCCGTACTCTATATACTTCAGAGATGCCATCATCAAACATGGGTGTATACTCTCCATTGCCCCGTACTCTATATACTTCAGAGATGCCATCATTAAACATGGGTGTATACTCTCCATTGCCCCGTACTCTATATACTTCAGAGATGTCATCATCAAACATGGGTGTATACTCTCCATTGCCCCGTACTCGATGTACTTCAGAGATGCCATCATTAAACATGGGTGTATACTCTCCATTGCCCCGTACTCTATATACTTCAGAGATGCCATCATCAAACATGGGTGTATACTCTCCATTGCCACGTACTCTATATACTTCAGAGATGCCATCATTAAACATGGGTGTATACTCTCCATTGCCCCGTACTCTATATACTTCAGAGATGTCATCATCAAACATGGGTGTATACTCTCCATTGCCCCGTACTCTATATACTTCAGAGATGCCATCATCAAACATGGGTGTATACTCTCCATTGCCCCGTACTCTATATACTTCAGAGATGCCATCATTAAACATGGGTGTATACTCTCCATTGCCCCGTACTCTATATACTTCAGAGATGCCATCATTAAACATGGGTGTATACTCTCCATTGCCCCGTACTCTATATACTTCAGAGATGCCATCATCAAACATGGGTGTATACTCTCCATTGCCCCGTACTCTATATACTTCAGAGATGCCATCATCAAACATGGGTGTATACTCTCCATTGCCCCGTACTCTATATACTTCAGAGATGTCATCATCAAACATGGGTGTATACTCTCCATTGCCCCGTACTCTATATACTTCAGAGATGCCATCATCAAACATGGGTGTATACTCTCCATTGCCCCGTACTCTATATACTTCAGAGATGCCATCATCAAACATGGGTGTATACTCTCCATTGCCCCGTACTCTATATACTTCAGAGATGTCATCATCAAACATGGGTGTATACTCTCCATTGCCCCGTACTCTATATACTTCAGAGATGTCATCATTAAACATGGGTGTATACTCTCCATTGCCCCGTACTCTATATACTTCAGAGATGCCATCATTAAACATGGGTGTATACTCTCCATTGCCCCGTACTCTATATACTTCAGAGATGCCATCATCAAACATGGGTGTATACTCTCCATTGCCCCGTACTCTATATACTTCAGAGATGTCATCATCAAACATGGGTGTATACTCTCCATTGCCCCGTACTCTATATACTTCAGAGATGCCATCATCAAACATGGGTGTATACTCTCCATTGCCCCGTACTCTATATACTTCAGAGATGTCATCATTAAACATGGGTGTATACTCTCCATTGCCCCGTACCCTATGTACTTCAGAGATGCCATCATCTGCTATTGTTTGTTTGCTTGTTTCTTAACGCCGCTATTGAAAGAGCTAAGGTTGTAAGTACTGTTTAACTGGGAAATGCCTCACCTAGGCCGTCGTAGTTGTGGTTCAGGGTGTGGGTTCCAATCTTGTCCCAGCCTCGAGATTCATACACATTTCCGTCTTCACCGATGACGAAAGTGTAGCCGATATCGTCCCAGCCTGTATGGTAAGATATCATTGTCCCTTTTCATCGTTAAAGTCTTGGATTACAACTGTTTACAAATGTTCGCCTTATTATATTCCCCGAAAACCACACCCTTTAACATAGATTCAACTGTACACCTATAGTGACCACACACGGAACAAAGCGGAAAACTGATTGAGTTGTCAAACATGATGTCTATATGATACAGATTCGGCGGTTATACTGGAAATGGCATTTTGCCCGAGGAGTGAGTTTGAGTGAATGAGTGAGTGAGTAGAGTTTCACGCCGCGTTGAACATATGTCAGTTCTATGTCAATTCAAATTTAATGTGGGAGGAAATACCTAAAGTGATGGCGATCTCAGACGGTTACAACTTTGGTAAAACACACAAACATGGGTGTAGTGTGGAAAAGCCTTATATATAATTCTGTGGGATTATTGGCTAATATTATGAACCCACGATCATAGGATTATGACACGTCTTAGTGAAGCAACTTTAAATTGACAACAGGATAAGTGACCCCACCATGTCCATCCATGTGGTAGTTCTGATAGGACCTCATAATGGACTTGCAGGTCGACTCATCATGGCAACTGGTGGAGGCCCCGTGGTGAATATACACGTTCTGGGGCGTGGCTGGTAGATTACCGATATGCACCTTCGGGGCTCTAGCGCCCCACTCAGCCCGTGACACTATGTGGGGACATCCGGGTAGTTGCTGAATGGAGGTCGAAGTCGTTCCGTGGTTTCCTTATTAAGGAGCGGTACGATTAATGCCACTTTCAGAGAAAAGATGAATTATATATTCAACTCAGATGAAAACAAATTCGACATATATGCTGTAATGTAATGAAGCGATTATTTGGGGTAGTTAGTGCTCTCAGACTAGAGGGATTTGTTGTTGATTTAAACCCAATTAACTCGAAGTTATGGGGACCATCGAACATATATGGAGATATAGTTCGAGACAAACAGAATTCCGATATTAGACCACATTGCCGATGCGGGTAATGACGGGACTATAACGTTGGGATTTATTGGAGTTGTAAGTATCGATGTTTCTCTATGTTTTCCGTCCGTGCGTATACATTTCTAATGATAATGCCCTGACAATTAGCATTACCGTGATTATAGCTAAAACAGACAGAATTTGTTATCAAATAAAAATAAACAACAATGTCGGTTTTGAAACACTTACTGCAGTTAACACACAACGGCGCGGCCCATCTCTCTCATTATATTACACCTATTAACGCTATCGACGTGGTATAAAATGGCCATTAATGACAATATTGAATGATGCGGTGTACATGTACCTGCGCAACTCCCAATGGCCAGCCAGCTATCCGCCACCCAGCCATCCTAGACATTAAGTTGGCATTGTCAATAGTGTGAGGAAGATATTACACTGATTCATGTCAATGTTTGGAGTGGAGTTTTTTTACGTTTTGTAGCCATTGTTTTATACATGGTTTTATCAATTACAACTTCGTAATCTCTCATGTACATTTCACCTCACAGGTTTTTTTTACACGATGGATGAACAAAGTCATAAATTATAAATATCAATGACAAGACAGGAATGATGAAAAAAACAAAACCAACCTTCCCGTTGTAGTCAATATTGGCCCAGTTTAATCCACCCACATGAGTTGTTTTGCCTTTGAAGGCATAGCAGGTATTCGGGGTCAAGGTCCCGATGACACCGTGACTAGTTCCGGCTCCACTTCGTACATGTACGCTTCCGGTGGCGCATGCGCACTGACTTGAAACATGTGGAACTGAAAAGGATAGTCGTGTAGGACACAAAGGGACACGTACATGCAAACACAAATAGCCAATGTTTAACTGTGTTGTGTATAGGCATACAGTATCTACAATAATCAAAATAATGTGTACCACCTTTTACCGGGGCCATCTTTGACCCTCGGGGCGGTACTGTAGTGGTAGTCTAGTGAATAAAGTGTGCGCTCGTCACACCGACGTCCGGGTTTTGATTTATCACATGGATGCAGTGTGTGGAGCCCAGTATTAGTGCCACCAGCCGTCCCATGGCTAACAGTGGCAATGTCAATTCTTGGCAGTTATGTATGCACCAGCTGACCCGTGAAGATCCGGGTAGAATAGGATCTCAGCAACCCATGCTTGCCGTAAAAGGCGACTATGCTTGTTGCAAGAGGCGACTAACGGGATCGGGTGGTCAGGCTCGCTGACTTGGTTGATGAACGTCATTGTATTCTAATTGCGTGGATCGATGCTCATGATGTCAATCATCGCAGTCATATAGCTGGTATATTGCTCAGTGCGGCGTTAAACAAACATACATATATACCCCCCATAGTCTCCAGGAAGAATGTTTACACGAATGAATGAACGTACTCGTGCAGTCCTGGAACTTGAGCCAACTGACAGCTACATAGGCGTCCTGAAACACGAGTTATGTGAAGTTTTGGTCACATGGCCATGAACATCAAGTATTTTGGTTTTTGTCTGTTTGAAATAGTTGAATGAAATATGGGAACTATTTCCTTTCATCAAATGACACTTAGAAATGCAGCGATGTGTTTAGCCTGATATAAAGCCATGTGCATGTACTTGCTGTCACAACACTATACACTTGATGAAGCTGCTTGCTTTCGTTTCCCAACATGGGAAGACAGTATACCGATGTTGGTATAATTATGATTACCTGTACGGCAGTACAGAACTGCAGTGAGTGACTGAGTTTATCGAGTGCCAGTAGGAAAATAACCCAAAGTGACTCAGGCCGTAAACGTATACCCCTCTGGTGAAGCTGCCAGACCAGCGGTGAAAGCCGCGAGCACGGGTATGTGGTGCTGAAAACCAAGGACCATAAGCAGGAAGAATCCTGGATGCGCATCCACGAAACCTGGCACTGATAAGTGACGTAACTCTGCACGAGGAATCACGTAGCTGGAACTACCTTTGCCCACTTGTATATATTCCAAATGGGTCATCAAAATTAACGTACGTTTCCATTATATTCGACGTGAGCCCACTGCATGCTGCCGACGGGAATCTTGTCCCCCTTGTAGCTGACACACTCACCTGGCGTCATCGTGCCCACAACGTTGTGGGTGACGCCAGCGCCGTCACGCATATGAACATTTCCGGTGGCGCATGCGCATCGTTCCGCAGACGTGATATGGAGGAATATGGCATAGAAGAATACTTGCAAAACAACCATCTGCAAATACACAGAAACGTTAGTGTGATTCATATTACCTTTTCTGCAATGTACCGGTTTGTGTGGGAAGCACTTCTAAACTGTACAGCTGTCGGATACCTTGACGAGAGTGCGTTTGAACCTGGTTATATCTACAGTACCAAGAATATCTCGAAACAGGCAATGCCATAATGACTTCTTATCATAATTAATTTCGTTTGGTCCACTTTTAAGTGTTTCAGAGTTTTGGAGGTATGTTTATATATAATGACATATTTGATTTCTGACTATTCTACAAATCCGACACGATACGCATACTAGATAGGCTGGGAGTATCTAACAACTGTGTACTTATGTCTCCTTCAGAATTGCTGGCTATGTATAAACTTACCTTTCTGGTCTACTACCCAAGGCAGCACACAACTATCTGGCTTATCAGAGAGTGTTGGGTGTGGCCCTGATCTAACACATATTCGTGCTGATAATTTCTGAAAGGATTGGCACAAAAAGCACCTGGATCACAATCAGGTCGGAGGGAAATGCTCGGCTTTTGTATGCTACTCAACAAACTCTCCGTAATTCGAAGGCCTATCTATACATTAAAATAAGAATAATTCCCGTTGACCCCCGTCGAACTTGTGTTTGGGCAGATAAGGCCCTAGCACCCAATGTTTGTTGTAACACAAGTGGTTAAACTGTTCATGCGTTTAAACTGCGCAACTTGAGAATGTGACAGTGTTACTATCGTTGATCATGCTGACCTACACTCAGTGTATTTACCAATATTAGCGGTACAGCTTCAGCTAAAAACATGATTCGCGCATTTATTGTGTTGATTCCGTTAGTTACATGTCTGTAGCACTATACAATAATCATAACGTTTCAATGTATAACCATTCGTTAATAAAAAGGAATAGACAACGTACGTGTAATCCACACTCTCATATATACCAGCAACCATAACACCAATGCTAAACAAACATACCATGTGCAAGACGAAGAATAGGCTTCACTGATCGTGACCATGCAGTGAATCGAACCCTTCATCTTCAGATCTCTTCAGTTATTGTCATTTTCCACGTGTTTGTGTGTATGTTTGTTGCTTAACGCCGCACTCGGTAATATTCCAGCAATATACAACGGTCTGTAAATAATCGAGGACAAGACAATCCAGAGATTGATTTCATGAGAATCGTAGCACGCAATTGTACATGTATAGGATCGGATGGTTTTCATGTGATAAGATTGTAGTTGTCTTACGCACAAACATTGTCTAAATATGGTCAATAAATAATCCACGAAAATAAAACAGCTCAAATGGCTTGACAAATGTGATTTTATTTCGTACAAAAATGCATGAAATACCTTCGGTAATCTCCGTCAAATACCGATAACATCCGACATCAGGGAAGCAACCAACTGCTAACGATTGCGGTATGATTAATCAAAGGATGATTGTTTCTCAAACACGGGATCCAATCCAAACTTGCATATATAGATCCGCGAGTCATAACGTGCTGGGCTTCAACAACTGTATTTACATTCACGATATCGTCCTGTCCCGAAAAGAGAACGCATGCTTTCAGTCAGTTTGCCTCGCACATACTCGACTTTCCCCAGCATGAGGGAAAAGCCGGACATATCCGAAGATTCTCTAACTCCGAAAATACACACGGCGATCCTACATTCAATGAAATAATTCTGAAGACGAAAAACGTTCACTGCTTTACGTTCAATACACATTTGTCAGTACAGATATTTAAATGCAGTTTTTGTGTATTTCCTAAATGTGTCTATGAAGGTCAGCTGTATGTGTACAGGAAGTTCTGTAGTACTCCTGGTATCTATTACAAAGCATACACTCTATTCGGGTCAGGGCTACATTCACATAGTCTACATACCGACATGGTCAACAATATAGTCCGCCCAATACGGCCACATATATATGCACCTGTTTGTTTTAGGTTTTAACATCTGACAATTCAAAACATCTCAACATGGTCTGATATATTTTGACACGTGTGAACATTGTCAGTGACTAAATAATAAACAATACATAGTTATCCCTCGATGTTCAACAAAAAGAAAATCGTCAGGTATCGCAATCAGACAAAATCATCCGAAAGTTCTACAAATCCTTGTTCTCCAAGAAAGAGCCGACAAATTTAGATCACGAATGATTGTTCTCAAACACATATATAGTTAAGTTCACGAAATCATGAAATAAATATAAGAGCATCTGGTCAGACAACAAATGGTATTTACAAGCATATTCGCAATCTTGACCTTTCATGGATCATGGTTTAATAGTAACATACACATAAATAAGTATAAATACGCATGTAGACATTAAGTGTTCACGACATCACGAACATCACGTCATAAGACCAGTATATTATGCACATGAACATGGAAGTGATTCCCACTCAGCCTTATCATCACGTCCTTTTAGGTCTAAACAAACCCCTGCTACACAAGAAGTCTCACCTTTAACTGTCCATAAGTTACCCAAGAAGGTGTCTCGGTCGCACAATGTTGGAAATAGATCTCAAACAACATAAGTCCTTAAGCAAAGACAGCGTAAAGGTTGTGTACATACATGCAGTAGCAACACATCTCTCCTAAGTCTGTGGATTCAAAACATCAAGTGTCAAGGAAATGGTTGGGATCAAAGTGAAACAGATGGATATTGGCATGCCTTGGCGTGGGATACGTGTGGGTGGGCATACTACCATAAGGTCTTACACGTTTACCTTTTTGGTTAAGCTCAGGAGAACGAGTATTTACGCTGACAAGCCATGCAAGGATACAAAATAGGGCAAATATGGGATCCATACTCGACCATCGGACTCTTGAACGTCCAAGGGACACAATTCAGTTTTATACCGGCGTGTCAGCTGAAAGCGGAAGGAGCGGGGATCGCTGATGTTTACCAGTTTGGCGGAGCTCAAGAGCCCTGGTATAATGCTGACACACAGGTGGTTTTGAAGTATTAATGCTGTAACATGCGATTACACAATGATGTGATATCTTAAACATATTTCTCTTCCAAATACGCCGTTCGTATGGCTTACATACACTCTATGATTACAACACGGGTCCCTTTCATCCGAGTTTGTTCCTGGTAGAACTCGGAAATAATTGTTTTCATTTTGTACCCCAAATCGTAGTACTTAATACAAAATGACAATAACCACTGAGTACTGTGGTTGAGTAAGTTATACAAGAACTAGAACGTGACAAAGTAGTACCAAACAGGTCAATCATCCACAGAGGCTATTATAATAGCTTATATCATATATAACCAGCGGATAACATTTATAGGAGACATTCCAGGATTGACCAAGTACTATGTTTAGACACATAAACTCCTCGCTGGTCACAAGTACATGACGTTCCAAAATGACTTTATTAATCGCTTACCAATCAAATATTAAATGGCCTTTCCAAACATGAGAATCATGTACACAATCACAGGTGCTCCGACAATATCAGTCAGTTGATAGACACAACACACGAATATCCGGTTGACTTCAGGTTGAACTTGTCATTATCCTGAATGACCGTCTGGTGTCGTCACAATGGGCAGGCCATCATCTCAACGTCACTTCCGACCGGCAGGAATTTCCCCACTGAAATACATTATATACCTGCAACCTCCAGATCACTTCAAATCCTGAACCATCTGAAACCTTAACAATACTGGCTTGTTATGTCTGATCTTTCTATGATATCAGAGTCACATGACTGGAGCCCGATCTAACGTGGAAATAACAGTAATCGACAAATGCTCATTCAAGTTTGAAGTCCTTCAGTGGCAAGGTGTCTGTCAGATGTGATCTGTAGTTTTGTGTTGACTCTCGTTCTCCAAAAGGACCAAATGGTAATTCCAAAACAATCAGAGACATAGCAGCAATATCGTTGATCATCAACGTTGGAAACATCATCAGCAGCATTTCGAAAAAACTGGTTCAACATCATAAGGTAAAATAATAGGCATAAGCAGCACCACAAAAGTTAATCTCATTGGTGTTCTTTGTCATCAATCTTTATTGACGTTTCATGTATCTATCTGGCAGCACCAAACATTACAGAGACATCGTCATCGCTTGATGATCATTTGACACATTCTTCCCTACAAGGTCATAGAATATTAGATAACACAAGAGATAGCGACAGAGGGGTAGGTTAGCGTGTCTGTTATCATACATCAGTTACTTTCTTTTGTAGGCGGCGAAGGGGCATTTCAAGGCTGTAGGAATCGCTCACAGTAACATTGTCAATGTTGATGTCATCAAACATATCAATATCTACATCGCTTACAGCGTCAGGAGCAAAGTAGTCCTCGTCACTAGCCATTCCCGGCCTATAATTATCATACTCAGATTCATACGCCGCTGACCCCGAGTCAAAGTTCACAGCAGGGTCACTCTTTGACATTTCACTGCTGCTGGCGAGAGAGGATACGCTGATGTTGTCCAAGGTTGTGGGCTGTTTCCCGAATATCAGTGGGATCAAATATGAATGCTTGATTTTAGGACTTCCACACGTTGATGAAGCATTGGATGACATAGCTGAAGCGTAATCCTCCCGATCGCTGGGGATATAGTCCAGACTTCGACAGTGCCGTGGTGGCATGGTGTGGGCTTGACGACGTTTCACTTGGAAAGGGTTAATGGACAGACGGTTATGCTGAGCTGGAATAGTTTTTGAAGAATCGTTTTGTTTAGGATCATCACTATCTGGTTTGGTCGGACCGTTTTGGTTTGCAGCTTTTGGTCTGGGAATTCGACTGGATTTACTGACCTCTCTGGGAGAACGCCCCGCCCTGGGGCTACTCAATCGGGGTCTGAGGGAGGGCAATCCGTCACATTGACAGTGTGGTTCTCCAGTGAGCTCCTGCAGCAGTTGAGTGAGAGATGAAGATGCTGAAGGGACTGGAAACTTTGGTGTAGGAGGACATCTTGGTATACTGTTGATGGTATCACTGGACCTTGAAATCTGCCTATCCAGACTGCGATAGGGAATATCAAAATACTTCATATCTAAGTCATAATATTTCCCTTCTGGCAAGGTAATCTGACGAATATAAGAAGGTCGAGAAGGTTTTAATTCTATCGGTTGTAACAACACAATAGATGAATTGTCGCTCATGGGTCGAGAACTAACAGAGTCTTTGTCATCGTCAGATACATTTGTCAGTGGCCTTTTAAAAACTGCAGATCGTCCCTTTGGCAGTCTGGGTGATTGTCTCGCTAGGTTTTCTTCAGACAAAACACCATTCATCTTTTGCTTGTCTCCCCCCGACGGCACTCTCCTCAACGCAAGAGATGGGCTTTCTGGGCTTGGAGGGAGGATGGACATAGTCTTACCATCAACACTTACCACAAGAGCAGACGTTGGCGTAAGGGTTGAGCCGGAAGAGTTACTCTCCCTTGACCCAGAGGATGATCGTCGGATCTCTGGTTTGGGCGCTGGTTTGGGAGGAGACTTCTTTTCACCGTTGGTAGAATTCCTATCTGAAGAGGCATTGCTTTTCTGAGACGGCGTAGAACAGTGTGACCTATCAATGGGCTCTCTATAAACTGCTGTCACAAACTTCTCTTCGTCCTGTCGTATGGGAGTAGCAGAAAACGGAGGACGAGCAACGCTCTTCAGGAAAGGTCTGTTTGGATGTGAAGGGGAGACGACTTGACCAAGTTCTTTGATAATATTGCTCATTGGTATAATCTCTTTCTCTGGCATATCCTTTTCAAGTAAGAATGCTTTACTATTTCTGATATTAGGATCCTCGGGAATAGAATCGTCAGGACTAGGCATCTTCAAAGGCTGCTTCATAAATGGAGCTACCCCTGCAAAGACTAAAGGCGTGGGCCGAGCATAAAGAGCCGTGGTGTTCCCACTGGGAGGCTTACTCGTCATGTCATGGGTGGTTCTTCTTATCGGCTGGGAGGAATTCTGTCCCTGGAAAGTCTGCGTCATCTGACTCTGACTGCGAACACTAGCTGGACTAGTGGCTGCGGAGGAGTCGGTGGGACTTGTACAATGAGAAGGCACGTTTCTGTATATTGTATTTTCATTATTCGATTCTTTGAGACTATCAAACATTGCATTTTGTATAACATTGCATCTTGACCTGTCTGTCTTGCCCTGCATCTTGATGTTCATGTAATGTATGGCTGGCAGCTCTGGGGACTCCACTCTTCCCTGATTGTTCACGTCACCAGACAAACAGTTTGTCACGGAGGAATTGCTCAACTTTCGCAGTGGGTTCCTGGGACTGTCATTACTGTTCTTCCTTCTGGAATTCTTACTTAAACTCCCAGGAGGAGTGGGCATATTACCTCTCTGCGAATCTAAGCTTGGCTGCCGCTCTAAACTAATAGCACCATAGCCGTTGCCACCTCGCCCTTGAGAGGTCAACGAACCCTGTTTTACGGAGTCCCGGATATTATTTCCACTTCCGTATCTCATAGACATACTCTCGCGTGATTCACGTGACGGAGGTCTGGGTAACCGAGGGCTGTCGGGTGAAAGAGGGGACGGGTAGTCTGGGAAGAAACCCCCCGACTTCCGGCAAACGAGGAAGTATGTGATCATTTCCCCTTTTCCCTTGATGCTGATCTTGCCGCGACATTTGAACTCGTACACCTCCTTCAGTCGCGAGTACACCTCCTCCGTCACCTGCAGCAATGAAATGAATGCGGTCATAGATATGTCAATTATTATATAACTTACAGATTATCAACATACAATAATTACTATAATTATTCAAACACAACATACATCATAATTTTGCGACTTTAGACAAACGAATTCAATACATTTATCATACATACATGTCTGTTCATATGTACATGTCATGACAAGTAGTACATGTGCTCTAATAACGTTAACGTAAAGTTACTGAAGCACGTGTACCACTTGTGACCAGAAGCATCAGTCCACACACAGCTTTCAAAACGTTAAATGCACATACATTAATTCTTAGATACTTCAAACGTTAGAAGTTTTAGAAGTTCCAAACATAATTAAATTCCGTCTCTGAAATGTCCTCCCTATTCACCAACATTTTATTAGACACATTGTATGTTATTGCACTATCTAATCACTATGAGATCAACGCACAAATGGTACTACTTGCCTGTATGTAATCTGGCCTGCCAGTACTTTCCATACGACTAGCTACATTGACGGTGTTCCCCCAGATGTCGTACTGCGGCTTCCTGGCCCCGATCACGCCTGCGACCACTGGCCCGATGCTCATCCCTGGAACATTACCAAGTCAATAGAAGGTAAACCACACCTGCACCAATAACCCCACTTACCAATTCTCGCCCGTCTAAAGCGAATAGCATGACGTCATAGATCCATACCAATTATATAATTATGGTTGTCTGGGACCATGTCTGAATCATTTCAAGGTCCCTCGTAATATAGGCTTGGTAGCTGTAATCTCATTGGGTAGAACCCTGCTCATTCGGCCATGTTGTTGGGGGCACGTGACTAAATGGTGTTTTAAGCCATGACAGTAGTACAAATGTATCTCTGCGGCCCATTGTCCAGGTAAACCAATTGTCTATACTATGAGCAACGATGTCACATAAGGGCGATGCCACACAGTTCTATACTCTCTCCCTTACAGTATGTGTGTGTGTGTGTGTGTGTGTGCGTGGGTGGTGGGGGAATCTATACTCTCTCCCTTACAATATGTGTGTGGGTGGGTGGTGGGGGGTTCTATACTCTTTCCTTTACAGTATGTGTGTGTGTGTGGGTGGTGGGGGGTTCTATACTCTCTCCCTTACAGTATGTGTGTGTGTGTGGTGGTTGGGTGGGTGTTTGGGGGATCTATACTCTCTCCCTTACAGTATGTGTGTGTGGGTTGGTGGGTGGTGGGTAGTTATATACTCTCTCCCTTACAGTATGTGTGTGTGTGGGTGGGGGTGGGGGGATCTATACTCTCTCCCTTACAGTATGTGTGTGTGTGGGTGTGGGTGGGGTGGGTGGTGGGTTGTGGGTGGTTCTATAATCTCTCCCTTACAGTATGTGTGTGGGTGGGTGGTGGGGGGATCTATACTCTCTCCCTTACAGTATGTGTGTGTGTGGGTTGGTGGGGGTGGGGTGGGTGGTGGATGGTGGGTGGTTCTATACTCTCTCCCTTACAGTATGTGTGTGTGTGTGGTGGTTGGGTGGGTGGTGGGGGATCTATACTCTCTCCCTTCCAGTATGTGTGTGTGTGTGTGTGTGGGTGGGTGGTGGTGGGTTCTATACTCTCTCCCTTACTGTATGTGGGTGTGGGTGTGTGGGTGGTGGTGGGGTGGGTGGTGGGGGTTCTATACTCTCTCCCTTTCAGTATGTGTGTGTGTGTGGGAGGGTGGGTGGGTGGGTGGGGCGGGGGGGATCTATACTCTCTCCCTTACAGTATGTGTGTATGTGGGTTGGTGGGGGTGGGGTGGGTGTTTGGGGGATCTATACTCTCTCCCTTACAGTATGTGTGTGTGTGTGTGTGGTTGTGGGTTCTATACTCTCTCCCTTACATTATGTGTGTGTGGGTGGGGGTGGGGTGGGTGGTGGGTGGTGGGTGGTTCTATAATCTCTCCCTTACAGTATGTGTGTGGGTGGGTGGGTGGTGGGGGGATCTATTCTCTCTCCCTTACAGTATGTGTGTGTGTGTGGTGGTTGGGTGGTTCTATACTCTCTCCCTTACAGCTTCTGTGTGTCTGGGTGGTGGTGGTTTTGGTGGTGGTGGTTCTATACCCTCTCCCTTACAGTATGTGTGTGGGTGGTTGGTTGGTGGTTCTATACTCTCTCCCTTACAGTATGTGTGTGTGTGTGTGTGTGGGGGGGGGGGGGGGGGGGGGGGTTGGGGGGATCTATACTCTCTCCCTTACAGTATGTGTGTGTGTGTGGTGGTTGGGTGGTTCTATACTCTCTCCCTTACAGCTTCTGTGTGTCTGGGTGGTGGTGGTTTTGGTGGTGGTGGTTCTATACCCTCTCCCTTACAGTATGTGTGTGGGTGGTTGGTTGGTGGTTCTATACTCTCTTCCTTACAGTATGTGTGTGTGTGTGTGGGGGGGGGGGGGGGGGGGGGTTTGGGGGGATCTATACTCTCTCCCTTACAGTATGTGTGTGAGATGGCGGGGGGGGGGGGGGGGGGGATCTATACTCTTTCCCTTACAGTATGTGTGTGTGTGTGTGTGTGGTGGGGGATCTATACTCACTCCCTTATGGTGTGTGTGTGTGTGGGTGGTGGTTGGGTGGGTGGTAGGGGGATCTATATATACTCTCTTCCTTACAGTATGTGTGTGTGTGTGTGCGTGTGTGGATGGTGGCGGATTCTATACTCGCTCCCTTACAGTATGTGTGTGTGGGTGGGTGTGGGTGGATGGTTGGGGGGATCTATACTCTCTCCCTTACAGTATGTGTGTGTGTGTATGGTTGTGGGTGTGGGTGGATGGTTGGGGGGATCTATACTCTTTCCCTTACAGTATGTGTGTGTGGGTGTGTGTGGGTGTGGGTGTATGGTGGTGGGGTGGGTGGTTGCGGGTTCTATACTCTCTCCCTTAGTGTATGCAGGTCCAAACTACGCGTATGCTGCGTCCTATCACATTGACGTCTCAAGAGGAACCACGCTCTCAACACATGCACACATCGACTATTATTTCGATATATTTCGGGGAAAGTGAATTAGGTCTAACACTGTTTTTACCGATAATTCAGATTTATAAAGTGTGAAAGTTTAATGTAGGACAAAAGTCTTAAGTGACGCAGGACTTCAACGTTCATACACTTTGGTGAAACAGCGGTACTGACAGACCGAGGACTGACTTCTGAAGGAATGCTCTTCCACCTACAGTAGTAACAGTGGCTACTGGTGACTTACAGTCATGGTCGTGTTGGAACCTATACTCCACCCGTCTGACATGGCAACATTGAGTGTCCAGTGTGTGGCCCGAACAGTGTACTACTTACCGACTTTTAGAACAAAATTGTTGTAGGAGTTCTCGTTGATGTTTCTGAGCTTCTCCTTCATCGCAAACACAAATTCAGCCAGGACCGTCATGTGATGCGTCACGGAGACGTCGTTGTCCTTCAACAATCACATAAACTTCAAACAACGACCATATTCAAATTTGTTAATTACCGGTACGATATCATACATGAATAAAACAACACACGTCCAGTGTTGAAATACCCTCCAGTCCCACACCAACCTTCCTCCTGTCTAAACTGATGTTGTATTTATCTTGGTGTTGCCATTCAAACACTAATTTTATATGTACTTGGATCTGGGTCATATTGCATATAAATGGACATTGTTCACAGTGAAACCTTGACAGGTCTTGGCCACAAAACAGTGAGGATGTAGTGAGTGAGTGAGTATGGTTTTTACGCCGCTTTTAGCAATATTCCAGCAATACCACGGCGGTGGACACCAGAAATGGGCTTCACACATTGCACCCATGTCGGGAATCGAACCCGGGTCTTTGGCGTGACGAGCGAACGCTTTAACCACTAGGCTACCCGACCGCCCCTGTCTTAGATGTAACTCTACAGTGAGGATATGTCTTAGATGTAAATCTACAGTGAGGATATGTCTTAGGAGAGGTATTTGAATTATTGCAGCTTGTGCATGTAGACATGACTTTGATAGGGTGAGTGGGTGGTTGTGCGCTATAGCTTGGCAGGAACGTGATACTAGCTGACAGGACACCTCATTACAATACCAGCTCATTATACTGCAACCAAATTGCTCGTTTTCTTGAACTACAAAATACACAGAGTACAAAGGCAACTTTAATGAGGCGACGTAACACATCGTCTTTCTCAGGGAGCTTTAACATTTACACATCAGCTTGTCCCAGTTCTTCATGTGTTGGTAATTGAGAGTATTCCTTCGATTTCTATGACATATAAATGGAAACGAGACATTCCTGAGCGACATAAGATCGTCCTAGTGGCAGAGCAGTTGAGTGAAGTAGCTCCCTCACCTGGATCAGATGTTCCGGCATTAAACCAATGGCTGTCATGTACGTGCTGCCGATGGTCTTGATCTTGTCTATAGCTCGAAACCGGGGCTCATTCAGTAGCTAAGAATATAAAATGAGGGGAATGAAAGGTGATATGAACCGCTAAATTATCCAAAAGACTATTTGAAAATTGCATTATAGGATAACTGACTACTAGATGAGAGAGCACTAAATCAATCCGGCGACATTGAAGCAACACCATAGCAGGGGCTAACACATTCCAAGCCTCAGACCCGGCTGCTATACATGACGAGTGAATGCACCAACGCAGAGAACCCCCCACCGCCAGTGAATGAATCCACACAAACCAGTGGTTGATAGCAGGAGTGTCGCCGTCGGTGATACGGTCGGCTTGGTTACAAATAGTAACAAGAAAACAAAGTCATCGATACCCCCCCCCCCCCCCCCCCCCCCCCCCCCCCCCCCACCCACACACACACCCACACACACCCACACCCCCACCCCCACCCCCCACCCCGCATACAGTCACAAACATTATAGTTCTATGTACCTAAATTTTCGACAAGAGGTTCATCCTAAAGCTTTAGAGTGCAACTGACGTTATGACTGATGATTAAACCAACATATTCCCTCTGAATGTTTTCAAAACTTCACAAGGATAAGCAAGGATACTCTTCAATAGACACAATAACACAGCTTTTTTTTATAACAATTTTGCATATTTTATTTCTAATCAAACAAAATGAAACCCTCATCTGGAGAGGTGTTTGCTAGCCTCACCTCGTCGAAGTCAGCGATGATCTCGTTCAGCACCCGGAGACACTCCACACCCTGATTATTGGCATCGAGCTCGATGTAGAAGTCGGAGAAGTTTGGGATAGAGGCGAAAACGACGCCCACCTTAGTATACTGCTGGCTGTACAGCTCCTGGTGAAACACAAGATTACAGCTACTACCACAGATACATGCACAATGCCGACATCTACATTTGAGTCGCCTCACCATATTGAGCTCGGGGTGATCTCGGGAAACAACACATAACATTATACGTTGTAGCCGTATCACTCGGGGTACATGTGGTTTCATGCGTCCAGCGTTAGGTTTTATACCACAAGCCGGTGGCGCATAAAACCACATGTACCCCAAGTCATACAACGAACTTATCTTAGCAACATGTTTTAATATGTCATTTTGAAACTAATACAATTTCAAACTTGACAGAAAACAGCTGTTCGATTGAGCTGATTGACTTTTATTGACTCGGAAAAAGCGTGCGGCTTTTTGCTTCTCCCGCTGAGTAATCAACGTGGAGCCTGTTTTCTTCGTGTCGGAGTGTAAGGGATTAATCTCCCTCCAAGAAATATATTTCTCTCGCAGGCGGGATACCTAGTATTTTATCAAGATGGCGTGGACCAATCAGATCTCGTCCTTGCAACATGGAGGTACGATGAAGTATTTTATCAAGATCATGTGGACCAATCAGATCTCATCATTCTGACATGGAGGTATGATAATCAATGATGGTCCTTGTCTAATCAAACAGTTTTCCATATCCAAAGACCAACAACCATTATCTAATGAGTTTTCCTTCCTTATGTTTGAGTTAAACTGTCGACTTAATTTTTGGAAAATGTATAAATTTGCTTCCCTATTTTAAATGAAATATATATTTGTATGTAATGAACCGACCATGTGACTCCTACTGCCGTTGTCGATGAAGTGTGCGGCGACGTGGGTGGGGAGGAGGTTACACAGGATCTGGCGGTTGTTGGTCTGCAGGTCTGTCATCTCGATCTTCTCCTCCGTCGCCTGCAGACGCCAGACTACATGATTACATGCATTGGAACCCGCTCTAACATGCTGCACTCGCGGGAAAACATCTTCGTCGATCAAAACCAGATCCAGTAATAATGAATGAAAACACTCGTTAGCACAGGAAATGATAAGTTTGTCGTTCTGTTGCCAATGAAAATAAATATAAGTTCCTGTTAAGATGTACCTTTATCATATATTATGGAAGATCTATCTCAATTGAAAGTTCTAAACTAAATTCCAACATCCATATATTTCATTTATCATGGCAGACACTGTAGAGTATAAGTGGTCTGTATCGTGGTCTACATCTTGCACGCTGTATGTATGTACTTTCATCGCTGTAGCCCGTACTACCGCAAAAGAAGATCAAGAACATGTTAAGGGTAGGATGCAATCGTTAAAAAGAAAGAAATATGTCGCGATGACAAACATGTACTTGAAGTTATCTCCCTTTGATCATATTGAGTACAGTCGAAGCACCTTGACGAGGAAGCGTTATCTTCGACTGACGAAACATACATTTCTCAGCCATTGAGTGAGTGAGTATGCAGGGAAGGGCATCAACAATGTGTACACCGAGTCTGTTTGGGAAGTCAAACTCGGCGGATAAAGGGTCACGCAACTACCAAAAGTTGGAAAGATCGAAGGTGGAAGTTCTACTGACGCACCTGAGCCTTCCACAGGAAGTCTAGTCTGTTTGTCCACTCCTGTTGTCGACCCTGGACAAACAAGGTGATGATGAAGATGATGAGACACACGATGCCGGACACGTGGGTGGGAATTAGGGGTTCGCTGAAACAGACAGAGGTCGTTGTCAGTTTTTGAAGCTTTCGCCACCCTCATGTGTCCATTTGGAATTAAAAGACAAATATATTTCCCCACACAGTAAATTATGTTCTTCTAGTATGAGAAAAGAATCAACATAACACTATGGGAAATAAGAGCGATGTTTGTATGTACACAAGTTGAACATGTTGTTTCAATGCAGTTATGTTCACTTGGTGCAGATCTCGTAAAAACAAGTCACTCCTTTTAAACCTTATTGTAGCCTTATTTCAAAACGTAATTACCCCAATTACGTAATAAACGTTTTCTGACGCCAAGCTTACACACAGTTCTTGGAATGTCGAAACTTCAAAATCGACTTGAAATTATAGGTGTACAGATTGTATTCAACTATTGATAATTCGTATTTGTCCTTGGCCTAATGGCAATACAGCGATGACATTATAAAACATGATTCTTTTACATCTCTACTCGAACGATCGATTCATTGGAATGACAGAATACTGAATACAAACCCCCTATAAAGGAAGGCATTGATATCGTGTCGAATGAAACCCGCCATATTTACTTTTCGGAGAACCCATCACACTATCGCGGTTGAACAATTGCACTTATGTCGTTACGTTAAACTGTTTTGTATGTTAGTGTTACGATATTCGCGTCTACGATAAGTGGATAACACATGTGTTTTCGTCGATCCAATTCGTGCTCTGTGCGTGAACGACTTGGTGGCAATCCTCAGGCAACAACTACATGTACGCACTAGGGCACGACCTATAATATTCAGATGGACATTTTTAGAGACAGATTATCATTGCTGTCACTGATTCCTGACATATGATTCCCTTTTGTGATAAGGAGCCAAAATATATTCAGGACACCCCGGAACAATTTATAATGGATCTAAAACCTGAGGCAAGTTGGTTTTCTAAGGATTTTTCTAGAAGAATAACTTTTTTTCTTAAATCTCCCAACGAAAAATATATAGTTTGTACTGTGCGACAATTACCACAGTCAGCTTGTGGCGTGACTGCAGTGTGGCTTTGATGACAATAGGTTACCTTCTTATCGTCTCCGTTGCGCCTAATGAGTTTCCCGAATTCGTGCCCTTGCCATCAAAATTGTCAAAGACAATCTTATGTGTAAACTCCATCAACACCAAGTAGAAAGCCGCCATTATGAGCATGAGAGCGAGGCGGATGCAGGAGGACAGCTTGAGGAACACGGACACACAGATGAAGGACACAATGGAGCTCAGGTAAATGTACTGGGGCATATCGCACTTCAGGTGGTTGTCGTTTGATGACGTCATCGTGATGTTGGTAAGAAAGGCAAATATATTCCCACCCTTGCAACAGAACTGTAAAAAAACCATATGAGCTGTGAAAATTCCCGAAGCACATCACACAATTCAAAGTAATTGAATGAGTGTAGAGGTAACAGTCCAGCCAAACGCCGTGGTCTGGCGTCACATTTTATTCTGCTGGATTTCGAACCCTGGTCTTGGGCGCGATGATACAACCGTGACGTGGCTAAGTTGCACTGTTGCAGAGTTGTGTTTATTAGATACAGGGAGAAACTGGACGTGAGATCGAGCACTACATTCGCCAGATTATGGGCCTTGGTCTATCAGCCTCATACCCGCTATATTCTGGACGTTAGGTTGAAAAGCCATGATATATCGTTAATACCGATCAAGGCAGCATCAGACCGAACTTACTCAAGAAATGTTTGGGTTATAGGGGTAATGAAAGATGTATATTGGGGATTCTTTCGGGAAATGCTGAAACGTTGAAGGTGTTTCAGTGTGTACGCATTTAGAGATTTCAGTAGATGCAAGCGATGAGCTACCGTTTACCTTAAAACCAAAGACCCGGGTTCGAATCCTTACATTGAATAATATGTAAATCCAATTCTTTGGTACCTCTACCTTGATATTGCTGAAACATTGCTCAAACTAATCGCAACTTTTTAATGAGAAAAGGTGATGTGAAATGCTACATTCATGCGCTTTGAACAGTATCTCTTTTGACATCACAGGCTGTCAGCCTGATGCTGGAAAGGCCATGGTGAAGCCTCATACGTTAACACTGGGTGAAACCCACTAGCACTAGTATGGTGTTATTGAGAATAGCCCCAATGAAACATGCTGAAAACTGAAAAAATGACGAAAATGAAATTTCAATATGGCTGCCGTGACAAATTTTAGAAACACCATTGCTAAATGGTTTGATAGGCATTACTTAGAAGTTGACGGATGACAAGGTAGACACAACACCTACCTATGTTATCCCACTCATGTATGCAATTGTTGTTACTGTTAATCCTCCACCTACCATATATATTCTGTACTATGTCCCTCATTCAGTCTTGCTTGACAACGGAATATAGGATCTATACCGAAACGTCGCTTGTTACAGTATCAAAGAAGTTGTTATCCATATAATTGTGTCTACCTTAACACCATTGCTGGTATTTCCCACTTCATTTCAGGTTTCGGAGCACTCGTCGAAAATATAGTGAAATTAGAAACATGGTTTATATGAAGGTTAAAGATTCTAGGTTGGTGAGAAAGTCCAATGTTGTATAATGAAGAAGTACTTGCTGTATATATAAACTTCATAAAGATAAATACATAGCCCGAGGGAAGGGCAACTATGATACTTTCAGTATGGCTGTCAAATAAGCTAAAAACTAAACTCTTTAAATATCGGAGGGTAACTACAAATATTTTGCTAAATATAAAATGCGCTTTGGTTTGGAACTGTTGATCCTATTGTTTACAGGCGCCTTTCAGAAATTCATCGAATCTGCGTTCTTTGTTTATTCTAAACAGGTGATTCTAATATGTTGTTGATACTTTGCAATTATCAAGTTGAAATTGAATATCTCACAAAAGAAATGGACACTGTAACTTGAAGTGTTTTGGCCCCTATCATTGTCCCAACAGCGGGCAGTGTCGCCACAATAACCGACACCCATACCAGTCTAGTAGGGGCCATTGTGATTGACAGCCATGGTTTGCCTCGCCACGTGATCGGTCTGTAATTACAGCATTACCTCCGTCATTAAAACGAAGTCTGCAATAAAATATTTTATTCCAATGATCACCCATGTTGGGTCTGAGAGGAGAATGGGTCTTCATCTCGCGTGATAATGAATGATTACCGTTTAACTATCTCGAAGATTATAATGTTATTTTCTGATTTTTTTAAAGGTGCATAATCCATCCTAATTTCCGAAAAATCCCAAATTGATTGGCTCCAAAGTCTGATTGATTAAAGACTATTTCTCTCGCAGATGAAAATCATTGATTTAAACTAGAAATGCTTTTTTCTGTCAAATGTAAAATTTAGAGAAGTGATACTTAGGACGAAAAGAGCAAATCTGCTTAATTCTCATTTTAGAGAACATTAATGGAACCAAAGCAGATCACGAATGGAAATTAGCCTCTTGAAGAAATTATAGCGGTAATGATATGGTTGATATTCAAAGTGTAACTATTACCTGCCGCCCCCAATGGGAACTACTTGGAGGTCTAAAGTAAATGGAGTGCCCACATTTCAATTAAGAGAAATCGTCATATGACACTATATTTAACGTGAACCCAATCTAGCAGTATTTGAAGACGCTATCTTCAATTATCGATCACATACTTTTGAAGCGTTCAATTTCAACATTTCTTGTCCAGTGCATATTGAATTCAGTTAGTCTAAATTAAAGGCCTGAAGGTTGGAATGAAAGCGCATTAAAAGAACTTCCCTGCTATTCTGAATACAAGTACAACATGACACGATGATGAGTTTTGTTATGAAGAATGGGATCGGGGTCTCTCTAAAGCAAACCGTCTTTGACCAGCCAAACATAGCTGTATGATGTAACATTAGCCGACTGTAGACTAAACTCACCACGTTAACTTGAGCAGTAGCGTAGATGAGGACGATGGTAGTTATCATAATAAACAGTCTCAAGGCGGCGGACTTCCGAATATCAAAAGGCGTGCACTGGAATAAATGAGCAGTTATGCGAAATGAATTTCTCTACTGTCTTGTTATATTAGGACAGTTGTAAACACTCACTCTCTTAAACGAGAAGATTGCGCAGGTTATTGGTTACAAAACGTCAACATGATCAGGTTGAGTGGCATCGAGCCAATGTAACGCAGCAAGGAAGAATGCGCGTGTAACTGACCTTGATCTTGACACTGAGAATGAGCATTAGGACGATGGCGATCCACGTGAAGGACGCAAGAAACAGCATCAGGAGCAAAAGTGTTCTGTAACAAATATAATGAGTGCGTGAGCGTGTTTCTTAGCCATTATCATCAAATAAAGGTATTACCTAGATGTGATATAAGGGCGTCACGGTGATGATATATTAACTTTCACTTTCTTTTCAACCATCAGGTCGTCAGCCATTGTAAACACCGGTTCGACATTGCAATTTTGCGACACTCATGATGTACTAATTCTGCCTGATACGACTCTGGGGAATAGACACAGCTGTCACCTAATCATCACCTGCAAATATATACCACACCTCACCTGGCCAGCCAGCATCTGACCACATTTACCAACATACACCTGAACTCACCTGGCCAGCCAGCATCTGACCACATTTACCAACACACACCTGACCTCACCTGGCCAGCCAGCATCTGACCACATTTACCAACATACACCTGACCTCACCTGGCCAGCCAGCATCTGATCATACTTACCAACATACACCTGACCTCACCTGGCCAGCCAGCACCTGATCATACTTACCAACATACACCTGACTACACCTGGCAAGCCAGCATCTGATCATACTTACCAACATACACCTGAACTCACCTGGCCATTCAGCATCTGATCATATTTACCAACATACACCTGACCTCACCTGGCAAGCCAGCATCTGACCACATTTACCAACATATACCTGACCTCACCTGGCCAGCCAGCATCTGACCACATTTACCAACATATACCTGACCTAACCTGGCCAGCCGGCATCTGACCACATTTACCAACATACACCTGAACTCACCTGGCCAGCCAGCATCTGACCACATTTACCGACATACACCTGACCTCACCTGGCCAGCCAGCATCTGACCACATTTACCAACATATACCTGACCTCACCTGGCCAGCCAGCATCTGACCACATTTACCAACATATACCTGACCTCACCTGGCCAGCCGGCATCTGACCACATTTACCAACATACACCTGACCTAACCTGGCCAGCCAGCATCTGACCACATTTACCAACATATACCTGACCTCACCTGCCAAGCCAGCATCTGACCACATTTACCAACATATACCTGACCTCACCTGGCCAGCCGGCATCTGACCACATTTACCAACATACACCTGACCTCACCTGGCCAGCCAGCATCTGACCACATTTACCAACATACACCTGACCTCACCTGGCCAGCCAGCATCTGACCACATTTACCAACATACACCTGACCTCACCTGGCCAGCCAGCATCTGATCATACTTACCAACATACACCTGAACTCACCTGGCCATTCAGCATCTGATCATACTTACCAACATACACCTGACCTCACCTGGCCAGCCAGCATCTGACCACATTTACCAACATACACCTGACCTCACCTGGCCAGCCAGCATCTGATCATACTTACCAATATACACCTGACCTCACCTGGCCAGCCAGCATCTGATCATACTTACCAACATACACCTGAACTCACCTGGCCAGCCAGCATCTGATCATACTTACCAACATACACCTGACCTCACCTGGCCAGCCAGCATCTCACCACATTTACCAACATATACCTGACCTCACCTGGCCAGCCAGCATCTGATCATACTTACCAACATACACCTGACCACACCTGGCCAGCCAGCATCTGATCATACTTACCAACATACACCTGACCTCACCTGGCCAGCCAGCATCTGATCATACTTACCAACATACACCTGACCTCACCTGGCAAGCCAGCATCTGACCACATTTACCAACATATACCTGACCTCATCTGGCCAGCCAGCATCTGATCATACTTACCAACATACACCTGAACTCACCTGGCCATTCAGCATCTGATCATACTTACCAACATACACCTGACCTCACCTGGCCAGCCAGCATCTGACCACATTTACCAACATACACCTGACCTCACCTGGCCAGCCAGCATCTGATCATACTTACCAACATACACCTGAACTCACCTGGCCAGCCAGCATCTGATCATACCTACCAACATACACCTGACCTCACCTGGCCAGCCAGCATCTGATCATACTTACCAACATACACCTGACCTCACCTGGCCAGCCAGCATCTGATCATACTTACCAACATACACCTGACCTCACCTGGCCAGCCAACATCTCACCACATTTACCAACATACACCTGACCTCACCTGGCCAGCCAGCATCTCACCACATTTACCAACATACACCTGACCTCACCTGGACAGCAAGCATCTGATCAAACTTACCAACATACACCTGACCTCACCTGGACAGCCACACTTCTGACCACACACAGCAACATACACTTGACCTCATCTGGAAAGCCAAGACCTGACCTTACCTGGGTAGTATCACCGCCTGGAGTCCCGCAGCAGATAGCAGCAGCAGCAGGGAACAGATGAGGCTGCCGCCAAACGCAAAGTCCTCAACTGTCTGATACTGTCAACAACCAGGAAACACATACACTGCTGTGCCATGTAGGCAGGATATAGAGCACAGTGCGACATGGCCGTGACAGTACATTCGAGTAGAAGACAACTTGGAGATTCTCATGTTTCCAAATAACATTAAATATCACAGACATCTAGTAAATCGGTTTGTTTGTGAAAATTTTTTAGGCACAGATGTTCACCAAGTATGTTCGGAGACATAGTTGTATACAGAGATAGTTTCATCCCTCGTGTAAGAATGGTGTGCTTGTCATGAAGGTTAGAAGTGGCTTTTGAATCAAATGTCTTTGCAAAGTACACGGTGTATTGTGTAAAACAGATGTACCAAAGTTATAGGAAAACATATTTTACAGACTGTTGGCAACAGTTGATCCTGCATTGACATTTTCAACAGCACACTTACAGTATGCTATGCTGCGATCTAGTTGATGACAGAGAGTTATAACAAAACATATTGTCATCTACGACGTGTGCATTTTCCTTACTCTGCGTTCCGTCTCCGAGCAGCGGAATCTGAGGGTAATGACATTCACGTGGTTGGTCTTCTCCCTCTCCACACTTCTGGCTGTGATGGCCTGGGCCAGGTACTTGTTGACACGGTCCCGAGGTTCAGGCAGGTGGGAGTGCCTACAACAGCACCAATTCACATTCTAATAAATCTCATGATGCCATGCATCGCAGACAACTGGTTCTTTTGTAGGTATTGATGGACAGCCATAAAGGAAGTGAGTGCCATTGAACGACTGTGTTTTCCCTTCCTTTACGCTGTGTAATTATAAACATGAGAAATATGCTGACAAACCAAAGATCATGAACGGGACGCATCTAAATTAGAATCCCAGATACTGTCACAGTAAAGGGAGGCAACCGATAAGAACAACCATTGGCGAAAGCCATCCAGCTGCCAGCCGCAATGGAACTAAGTGAGTGTGTCCGCAGTCCGCAATATTGCAGCTATATCGCGGTGACCTGTAAGTAGTCTTAGTCACGCAAATCAGCTGTTGACAACGCGGGAAAAAACACACCGTTGGCCCACGACGATATACCACCAGACAGGTCACATGCTGTAATTCCAGGAGGCCATTACGACATGTATGGTGCATGGTGTACTTGAGGCCCGGAAGCCACTAGGGAGACACTACGAGGTTGAACCTGGATTATGAGCATGTTAGAAACAAATTGTCCACATACCGTTCCTTGAAGGGTTTACGTAGTTTGTCTGTCATCGAGGCAAATACACTCTGAAATTCAAATGTAATGTTAATAACACGTGATGTCCAACTAGTTATCATGTAACGGAAACAAAACAAGACATTATTTTCTTGAAACATATTCAGAACGATAATGTCTTCTATTTGATCTTTCAGAGACTTGCATCAAGGCGACCGTTTTCACCAAGCATTCCACAAATCCGATGTAGCATGTAATGTGTGTCTACATGTCTGTTCTCTTATATGCGTGGTGATCCGGTGTACTTGTTTCATGGTCCCTGTAATATTTATGGGTTCATGGGGATACTTGGCATGCAAAGAGGTAATTGACTGCTGGAACACCGGTTTTCAAGATAAGATGGGGGTAGACCTAGTTCTTTATGGCTTTAGTATCTGGCAGCAACATTAACATTCATCACCAGTCACTTCTTCCAAACCATTCAATTTGTCCCTGAATAATATTGGTGATTAAGAATAATAATCTACAAGAAGGGATGATACTGGAAACACTTCCACAGTGTACGAAGCAGTCAGTGCAATCTACAAAGTCATTACCAACTTCAGGGTGGACACCGGGAATATACACAACACAGTGCACGGAGCAGTCAGTGCAATCTACAAAGTCATTACCAACCTCAGGGTGGACACCGGGAATATACACAACACAGTGTACGGAGCAGTCAGTGCAATCTACAAAGTCATTACCAACCTCAGAGTGGACACCGGGAATATACACAACATAGTGTACGGAGCAGTCAGTGCAATATACAAAGTCACAACCAACCTCAGGGTGGACACCGGGAATATACACAACACAGTCTACGGAGCAGTCAGTGCAATCTACAAAGTCATTACCAACCTCAGCGTGGACACCGGGAATATACACAACACAGTGTACGGAGCAGTCAGTGCAATCTACAAAGTCATTACCAACCTCAGAGTGGACACCGGGAATATACACAACACAGTGTACGGAGCAGTCAGTGCAATCTACAAAGTCATTACCAACCTCAGAGTGGACACCGGGAATATACACAACACAGTGTACGGAGCAGTCTGTGCAATCTACAAAGTCATTACCAACCTCAGAGTGGACACCGGGAATATACACAACACAGTGTACGGAGCAGTCAGTGCAATCTACAAAGTCATTACCAACCTCAGAGTGGACACCGGGAATATACACAACACAGTCTATGGAGCAGTCAGTGCAATCTACAAAGTCACCACCAACCTCAGGGTGGACACCGGGAATATACACAACACAGTGTACGGAGCAGTCAGTGCAATCTACAAAGTCATTACCAACCTCAGAGTGGACACCGGGAATATACACAACACAGTGTACGGAGCAGTCAGTGCAATCTACAAAGTCATTACCAACCTCAGAGTGGACACCGGGAATATACACAACACAGTGTACGGAGCAGTCTGTGCAATCTACAAAGTCATTACCAACCTCAGAGTGGACACCGGGAATATACACAACACAGTGTACGGAGCAGTCAGTGCAATCTACAAAGTCATTACCAACCTCAGAGTGGACACCGGGAATATACACAACACAGTCTATGGAGCAGTCAGTGCAATCTACAAAGTCACCACCAACCTCAGGGTGGACACCGGGAATATACACAACACAGTGTACGGAGCAGTCAGTGCAATCTACAAAGTCATTACCAACCTCAGAGTGGACACCGGGAATATACACAACACAGTGTACGGAGCAGTCAGTGCAATCTACAAAGTCATTACCAACCTCAGAGTGGACACCGGGAATATACACAACACAGTGTACGGAGCAGTCTGTGCAATCTACAAAGTCATTACCAACCTCAGAGTGGACACCGGGAATATACACAACACAGTGTACGGAGCAGTCAGTGCAATCTACAAAGTCATTACCAACCTCAGAGTGGACACCGCGAATATACACAACACAGTCTACGGAGCAGTCAGTGCAATCTACAAAGTCATTACCAACCTCAGAGTGGACACCGGGAATATACACAACACAGTGTACGGAGCAGTCAGTGCAATCTACAAAGTCATTACCAACCTCAGGGTGGACACCGGGAATATACACAACACAGTGTACGGATCAGTCAGTGCAATCTACAAAGTCATTACCAACCTCAGAGTGGACACCGGGAATATACACAACACAGTGTACGGAGCAGTCAGTGCAATCTACAAAGTCATTACCAACCTCAGAGTGGACACCGGGAATATACACAACACAGTGTACGGAGCAGTCAGTGCAATCTACAAAGTCATTACCAACCTCAGAGTGGACACCGGGAATATACACAACATAGTGTACGGAGCAGTCAGTGCAATCTACAAAGTCACCACCTACCTCAGGGTGGACACCGGGAATATACACAACACAGTGTACGGAGCAGTCAGTGCAATCTACAAAGTCATTACCAACCTCAGGGTGGACACCGGGAATATACACAACACAGTGTACGGAGCAGTCAGTGCAATCTACAAAGTCATTACCAACCTCAGAGTGGACACCGGGAATATACACAACACAGTGTACGGAGCAGTCAGTGCAATCTACAAAGTCATTACCAACCTCAGAGTGGACACCGGGAATATACACAACACAGTGTACGGAGCAGTCAGTGCAATCTACAAAGTCATTACCAACCTCAGAGTGGACACCGGGAATATACACAACACAGTGTACGGAGCAGTCAGTGTAATCTACAAAGTCATTACCAACCTCAGGGTGGACACCGGGAATATACACAACAGTGTACGGGGCACTCAGTGCAATCTACAAAGTCATTACCTCACGTTCTGAAACCCTAGTCAAACTGAGAGACACGTACATTAACATCTCAAGCCAGAGTACTTACGAACTTATGAACTGGTTTCTCGTCTTGTGTTGGGGTAAGAACATTCTGGAATGGGATTTCAGCATTGAACTTGACGGACTGCATCAATCGCATGACGCAGTTGGTGACGTTCCGGAATGACAACTTCTTCGGCCGTAAACCAGTCCAGTCCTTCTGATGAAACACGCCGGGCTGTATTAAATTAAGATGTCTTAGTGTTTGCGTTTCTTGCTTTGTGTTTTGTATACAGAATTTTGAAAGTGGACTGACTTATTGGGGGATTGTGTGTTCATAGCTTAAACATCTGTGAACATGGTAATGCCATATGGCAGGGAGGAAGATGTTTTTGTGTTCCCTACATTGATCGTCACAAGTCCATCATCAAAAGTATAGTGTAAAAGCGAACTAGCAAATGACATTATTCATCAAGACAAACTACATTCTGTATTAACGTTCCGAATGTCCGTTTTCCGTTACGAACAACAAAATGTTAATGCCACTGTCTATTTGGAACTGACAAAACAATTATACTTTTTGTGCAAAGATTATTATCAACCCTAGAACAGAAAGTATCTGGTTCAGGACATAATGAGGGATGGTTTGAATACAGACAGGGGTCACTTTAGTCATTTTAGCAGAGGTCATTCAAGATGGATATATTCACAAGAACACAAAACATGTTGCTGCATCTATCAATCTAGTTACAAAATACACGACATTGTAGCTAACATTAATAGCATTAATACAAGCAGGTCATGAAAACAAGAAACAGATAGCTGAAGATGTAAAACAAACATATGGTCCGTTGAAATTGATAAAAGCCGTCAGGTGTAGTCTGTGTAAACATGGCAAGTTACCCAATTTGATAGCCGCGCGCACGGAATGCTGGGTAATTAATGGCTGGCAATCAACCTGTATCTCCCATCCAGTGTTTAGTGTAGCTTCTAATGGACTCGGTATCACGTCCACTCACTGACTTACCCCCACGATAAAACATACTTGCTACACAACGAATATCAAAAGATGGTTCTCAGAGAGAATTGTCTTGTTTTGATACTATTCTTTATATTTCAGTTCCAACAGCGAGTTATCATCTAGGCCCTAAATAGCTGGCCCTACACAGCCACAGTTTCCGGGATGCGCAGAATATTAGCTCAGCAGCTGAATCGTGTATAACCGAAACGGTAACTATCTCGTGCGCATATCACCGTTGCTTACAATGATCAGCAGAAATGGGATATTCGGCGTCTGTTGCGAAGAAGGAAATATAAACAAGTATTCTTATTCTTAGATGAACGCAAGATAAAGGTTTTCTTTTTATTGCTCCCATATTTTTATACCTATGGATAAATCTAAACTCTGAGAATTCGTACACATACCTAAGCCTGCACAGGTCTAGTATAGATGACCTCCTTTACACGATGAATCATATCCCGTCGCTCGAAAATCGTGTTACTGGGATATATGACTACAAAGAACTTACCTCAACTGAACATTGTTAGAGGACAGACATAATAAAATAATATTTTGTGTCAATTTTAGACGTTGTTTTTCTGACGGCAGTTAACAATCAGCCACGCGAATCAAGCGTGGGAAAAGGAAACGCTTCCATTGCAAGGGTACGACTGCGCCACAGTGAACTTCAAGAGTGTGAGATTAGTTTTGATTTATTTCATGTTTTCATTTTTTTTTAAAGTTTTCGTTTCGTTTTTTCTTTCTTGAAATATACATAATATTGGCCACGAATATTCACAAAATGGTTTGACGGAACCATGAAAAGGAATTGTGGATTAATGTGTAGCATTGCAGCCTACCCTCCTTGGGAGCTTGGCCTTGATGAGGTAGGTCTCGATTGCCTCCTCCTTCAGGTAGGAATTCCGGTCCCCACCATGGCCGGGTTCGACTTCATACTGTCCATGGAGGTTGTCAAGCGTTGCCTGGGTGATGTGGACACGTCTACAAAACAGGTAAATATGTCAGTGAGTGAGTTTGGCTTAACGTCGCTTTGGACAATATTGCAGTTGTGTCAGAGTGTGCCAGCTTGAGGTGAGAGGAAAGTTATGGGTGGTGCAGGTCAAGGACATTTGCCAACGGGTGAAAGCAACTGATTCGGTTCTGACAGACCAATGATCATATCCGGGGTGATCATATTTAGGATTCGATCCACACACACGGTCCATTCACGCCCGAGGAGGGCAAATCTGCACGGCAAACGCTCAAATTTCAAAGTGACCGTGATAAAGGAGCATCCATTTGATTTCTAAAGGGGACGGGGGAGGATATTGTGTTCAAAATATGCCCTATGTGAATAGTTTGTGTTGTGGGAAATACCAAAACATCAAAATGTTTCTGTTAATAGTGAAATGAATAGAATGTTTGATGGAAATCATTAAGTTAAAAGTTCTTTTTGATACAGCTAAAAAAATAGATTGTTCTTGTAAATATTTCCATTACCACCCCCTTACACACACACACACACACACACATATATTATACACCCCCATGCCCCTCATACACCCCACCCCACAGACACACATACATATTATACACACCCCATCCCTCGCATACATCCCCCCCCCCCCCCCCCCCCCCCACACACACACACACACCATCCCCCGCATACAAAGCAAATGGATGCTTCCTAACACTACAATACCAATGACATTAAATACTGTCCACAACAGTTGTTAATTTGCTATGTCATGCGCTTGAATATTGCCACATTAACAAAACCATCCTGGTTTAAGGTCATGTGTGATATGTCCACCTACCCTGGAAGACCCCCAGCCTCCATCCTATTGGCCAGAGTGACGTCATTGCTCCATACGTCATACTGCCATTTCTTGAGGCCCAGAACTCCACACAACACTCTCCCTGTATGGAGCCCAACGCGCATATTTAAATTGACATCTGTAGATTCGCACACCGTCCTGAATTGAACCAAATCAAAACACATCATTTCAAGGCTTTTCATATCTGATGAGGATTGAATACAGCTTTGTGCCGTGTCGGAAATATCTATCACGTGCGTCTGCATGTCATTCTCCTTGTGTTTTCGCAAATATAAAGAAAACACTGTTTTGAACAACATATACCATCACATGTATTCCGATCAAACGGTAGATAGCAGATGACAGATTAATAAATGTGCCACGATGAAAACAAAATTTATTAAACGAACATGTTGTTGCTGTGTTCAATGGCAAATAGTGACACTGTGACGCAGTGTCGTAAACAACATCATTCTACATACATATATATGAGGTTAACTGCTATTCTTAGTTTGTAAGACATGGTTGACTACAACCTAGCTATGTAAACTTCCGAGATAAACACACAATATTGGTGGAAGTGCGAGATAAACACACAATATTGGTGGAAGTGCGAGATAAACACACAATATTGGTGGAAGTGCGAGATAAACACACAATATTGGTGGGAGTGCGAGATAAACACACAATATTGGTGGAAGTGCGAGATAAACACACAATATAGGTGGAAGTGCGAGATAAACACACAATATTGGTGGAAGTGCGAGATAAACACACAATATTGGTGGAAGTGCGAGATAAACACACAATATTGGTGGGAGTGCGAGATAAACACACAATATTGGTGGAAGTGCGAGATAAACACACAATATTGGTGGAAGTGCGAGATAAACACACAATATTGGTGGAAGTGCGAGATAAACACACAATATTGGTGGAAGAGCGAGATAAACACACAATATTTGTGGAAGTGCGAGATAAACACACAATATTGGTGGAAGTGCGAGATAAACACACAATATAGGTGGAAGTGCGAGATAAACACACAATATTGGTGGGAGTGCGAGATAAACACACAATATAGGTGGAAGTGAGAGATAAACACACAATATTGGTGGAAGTGCGAGATAAACACACAATATAGGTGGAAGTGCGAGATAAACACAATATTGGTGGAAGTGCGAGATAAACACACAATATAGCTGGAAGTGAGAGATAAACACACAATATAGGTGGAAGTGAGAGATAAACACACAATATTGGTGGAAGTGCGAGATAAACACACAATATTGGTGGGAGTGCGAGATAAACACACAATATTGGTGGAAGTGCGAGATAAACACACAATATAGGTGGAAGTGAGAGATAAACACACAATATTGGTGGAAGTGCGAGATAAACACACAATATTGGTGGAAGTGAGAGATAAACACACAATATTGGTGGAAGTGCGAGATAAACACACAATATAGGTGGAAGTGAGAGATAAACACACAATATTGGTGGAAGTGCGAGATAAACACACAATATAGGTGGAAGTGAGAGATAAACACACAATATAGGTGGAAGTGCGAGATAAACACACAATATTGGTGGAAGTGCGAGATAAACACACAATATTGGTGGGAGTGAGAGATAAACACACAATATAGGTGGAAGTGCGAGATAAACACACAATATAGGTGGAAGTGAGAGATAAACACACAATATTGGTGGAAGTGCGAGATAAACACACAATATAGGTGGAAGTGCGAGATAAACACACAATATAGGTGGAAGTGAGAGATAAACACACAATATTGGTGGAAGTGCGAGATAAACACACAATATTGGTGGGAGTGCGAGATAAACACACAATATAGGTGGAAGTGCGAGATAAACACACAATATTGGTGGAAGTGCGAGATAAACACACAATATAGGTGGAAGTGAGAGATAAACACACAATATTGGTGGGAGTGCGAGATAAACACACAATATTGGTGGAAGTGAGAGATAAACACACAATATTGGTGGAAGTGCGAGATAAACACACAATATAGGTGGAAGTGAGAGATAAACACACAATATTGGTGGAAGTGCGAGATAAACACACAATATAGGTGGAAGTGAGAGATAAACACACAATATAGGTGGAAGTGCGAGATAAACACACAATATTGGTGGAAGTGCGAGATAAACACACAATATTGGTGGGAGTGAGAGATAAACACACAATATAGGTGGAAGTGAGAGATAAACACACAATATTGGTGGAAGTGAGAGATAAACATACAATATAGCTGGAAGTGAGAGATAAACACACAATATTGGTGGAAGTGCGAGATAAACACACAATATAGGTGGAAGTGAGAGATAAACACACAATATTGGTGGAAGTGCGAGATAAACACACAATATAGGTGGAAGTGCGTGATAAACACACAATATAGGTGGAAGTGAGAGATAAACACACAATATTGGTGGAAGTGCGAGATAAACACACAATATAGGTGGAAGTGCGTGATAAACACACAATATAGGTGGAAGTGAGAGATAAACACACAATATTGGTGGAAGTGCGAGATAAACACACAATATAGGTGGAAGTGAGAGATAAACACACAATATTGGTGGAAGTGCGAGATAAACACACAATATAGGTGGAAGTGCGTGATAAACACACAATATAGGTGGAAGTGAGAGATAAACACACAATATTGGTGGAAGTGCGAGATAAACACACAATATAGGTGGAAGTTCGAGATAAACACACAATATAGGTGGAAGTGAGAGATAAACACACAATATTGGTGGAAGTTCGAGATAAACACACACTATTGGTGGAAGTGAGAGATAAACACACAGTATTGGTGGAAGTTCGAGATAAACACACACTATTGGTGGAAGTTCGAGATAAACACACAATATTGGTGGGAGTGAGAGATAAACACACACTATTGGTGGAAGTGAGAGATAAACACACACTATTGGTGGAAGTGAGAGATAAACACACAGTATTGGTGGAAGTTCGAGATAAACACACACTATTGGTGGAAGTTCGAGATAAACACACAATATTGGTGTACGAACATATAATTCGTCCACGTGCAAGGCCAGGTGCTACGGGGTGTAAAGGCAAGGAAAAGGTCTAATTCAAATTCATCGCTGTCATAAAATATGGAGACGTACATATTTTTATTTGTCAAATTCTACCTTTTTCCAAAAAAACTGTTACAGTATCATATGCAAAACATTGGGCTTTATCAAATTCAAAGACCATATACAGAAAATGGAACGGTATCGTTCTGTCCTGTCGCAAAGATGACAATGAGCGTCGAGACGGAACCAGAATATTTAACTAATTCACCAGTGACAAATCAGAAGTGTCAACACGAAAGAACACTAACGCATAGACAGGTGAGAAGTATTGGTAGAAGTGCGACCGAGAACGGACGAAATGAATTACCTCAGTCATTAACCCAATAACGTGTAGCTGGTCCGGCGTAAAGGTTACTGATGGTGTCACAGAATCAATGATATTTTATATTTTGTATAGTTTTCGGGGGCGCTAATTGCGCAATGTATTGACCAGAATTGGGTGAGTGAGTGAGTTTGGTTTTACGCAGCTTTTAGCAATATTCCAGCAATATCACGGCGGGGGACACAAGAAATGGGCTTCACACATTGTACCATTGTCGGGAATCGAACCCGGGTCTTCGGCGTGACGAGCGAACGCTTTAACCACTAGGCTACCCGACCGCCCCTAACCAGAATTGGGGTAGAGAATGGAGCTAGATTTGGGAGACTGCGTTACAAAACCGTTTGACCTTTTGCAATATGTATAACTATCTCCTTAGCAAAGTACGACAACCCCGCTCGTCTGGTTTGCGTAACCCGATATCAACAACTGTAACACGTCCCTCTAATTACCTTAGTCGTTGGGCCTCCAATCCCGTGTACCAACTGATTAAATACATGTCTAAACACTGCCGACCACATAGCAGTAAATAAGATCTCATTACGAAAACTGACATTAACAAATGCCCCTGGAGTTAGTAATCGTTAACACTCGGCTATTTCCGGAAGCTCTGTGAAGGTCTTTGAGGTTTTCCGGCCACGTGTGATGGGACGACCTATGGTAGATATGTAAGCTGCATCCCTCTTTGAGAGTCTTGTGTTCAATGCCGAAGACAAAGAGTAACACAAATCTTTATGTTGCTGTTGGATTAAAGTTTATAGCCATTGTTGTCATAAGTGCAAGCGTAAATATACTAATCCCCCGGGTACAGTTAGTAGCAACTGTGGCTGCATATTACATTTATGTCATGTCTCTTAATAAATAACAGACAATCTCGCCCCTTTAGTCTGGTTAATAAATTGATAACATAATATCTGTGCAAATATTTGTTAATGCCTTATACATATGTATATATGTATAGAAAATTAGTGGACTAGGGTCGCTTGTGAATGTTAGAGTTCTGCCAATTCACTGAACATGACAGATGGGAAGAACTACACACAAAGTGTTGTTCGTACGTGAGCTGAAAACACGGGGGATAAAAAGAAACAAATGAAAAAAAAGAGTAAAAAATAATCTTTAAAAAGATCATGCAAGAACCAGGAAAAAGAGACGAAATATAGGTCTACCTTACAAAGATATAGCAACGCTCTGCATTAGAAAATAATCTTTGTCGCGTTTGCTTCGTTACAATTGTGATAGATATCGCAGGAGCGTGTTCGACTGATCTAAAGTTTTGGAATTGTTCACCACACCATATGAGACACACGTATAAAATACACACAATGATATCCCTTATCTATTAACCAGTGACATATTCTAAAGGTTAAAAGAACACATCATGGAGAGACCCCTCGACTGCAGCTCGTTGCGCGTGTTGATTGATGTGGGGATGAAATTTAAATGTGACAAGTTGATAGCAACAGAGCATTCTATCATGGTCCGAGATTAAACAAGCAGGTTATAACATGGGGCCACCTTTGTCATACATGAGATTTCGTCTCCCTCAAGAGAAATCGATTCTTGTTGATTGACGTAATTATGGCACGAAAAAAGGCCAATAAGCCTATATTTTGTCCCTGCCCTCGGCCAATGGAAATAATGGCAAATAGTTGGCCACAAAGACTGCTTGACGGATGGGAAATGAAAGATAGTTCTGGCATCTGAAAAAGAATCGATGGCCCTAACAGCACCGATGTTATTGTACGCCGTGTTTCTCCTGAACATCGGAGTAAGTTTAGTGAGCGGTGCTTTTCTTATGCACATAGCTACACATATAGAAAAACCATTTGGCCCGGCGTATGTTATCGCTGGTTATAAGACCTTTGAGTGTGGAGGTTTAAGTCCAAGGGAAGTAGTGGTGAACATCAAATAGGAAGGTGTAATGTATGGCTTTGACTTCATGACGTCTGGGAAAAAGGACCAAACAAACTGACGAAATATCGATGAATATTTATCGAATGTACCCAAGAGCATTGCTCTGATGCTGTTATGTAAGATTCGCATAACCCTCGAGAAATAGAGCTTCAAGACACGCCGAGTGTAGGTAATCGATGTAGGTAATGCTACTACTACTACTACTGTATTACACTTAAGTTTAATGTCCTTCATTTTCCTCACTGACGAGTAATGGTTTTCCTATTCTACTTGATTTGTTTTGTTTATCTGCAATTTTTCAAAAGTATGATTTTTTTTACAAAAATGTATGGTATCACGTCTGTTACTTACAGTGAGAAATGCGTACAATTTTGTATAGAGCAAAATGATTCCACTTATAAAGAAAGTGATAATCCTCGATCTGCAAACACATCTTAAATTAGGGAATATAATCAAATCGTCAATATTTGCTCTATATACAGCTACATCTAATTCAACATGGCAAAACTATTGTGTCAATCCTATCCAGCTTTCTCAAATGTACGTTGTAGCGTCAAACATATCCACAACACTCAAATGTACGTTGTAGCGTCAATCATATCCACAATACTCAAATGTACGTTTTAGCGTTAATCATATCCACAACACTCAAATGTACATTGTAGAGTCAAACATATCCACAATACTCAAATGTACGTTTTAGCGTCAATCATATCCACAATACTCAAATGTACGTTTTAGCGTTAATCATATCCACAACACTCAAATGTACATTGTAGAGTCAAACATATCCACAATACTCAAATGTACGTTTTAGCGTCAACCATATCCACAACACTCAAATGTACGTTGTAGAGTCAATCATATCCATAACACTCAAATGTACGATGTAGCGTCAATCATAACCACAATACTAAAATGTAAGTTGTAGCGTCAATCATATCCACAACACTCACATGTACGCTGTAGCGTCAATCATAACCACAATACTCAAATGTACATTGTAGCGTCAAACATATCCACAATACTCAAATGTACGTTGTAGCGTCAAACATATCCACAACACTCAAATGTATGTTGTACCTTTAACCATATCCACAATACTCACAAGTGCGCTGTAGCGTCAATCATAACCACAACACTCAAATGTACGTTGTAGCGTCAATCATATCCACAATATTAAAAAGGATGCTGTAGCGTCAATCATATACACAACACTTGAATGTACGTGGTAGCGTCAATCATATCCACAATACTCACATGTACGTTGTAGCGTCAATCATATCTACAACACTCACATGTACGTTGTAGCGTCAATCATATCCACAATACTGACAATACTCAAATGTACGTTGTAGCGTCAATCATATCCACAATACTCACATGTACGTTGTAGCGTCAATCATATCCACAACACTCACATGTACGCTGTAGCGTCAAACATATCCACAACACTCAAATGTATGTTGTACCTTTAACCATATCCACAATACTCACAAGTGCGCTGTAGCGTCAATCATAACCACAACACTCAAATGTACGTTGTAGCGTCAATCATATCCACAATATTCAAAAGGACGCTGTAGCGTCAATCATATACACAACACTTGAATGTACGTGGTAGCGTCAATCATATCCACAATACTCACATGTACGTTGTAGCGTCAATCATATCTACAACACTCACATGTACGTTGTAGCGTCAATCATATCCACAATACTCACAAGTACGTTGTAGTGTCAATCATATCCACAATACTCACATGTACGTTGTAGCGTCAATCATATCCACAATACTCACATGTACGTTGTAGCGTCAATCATATCCACAATACTCACATTTACATTGTAGAGTCAATCATATTCAGAATACGTATGCTATAGCGTCAATTTTCACATTTATGCTTATGCAGTAAAGTGGCAATCATAGTGAGAATACTTACGCTATAGCTTCAATCATATCCAGACCCATCTCGACACAGCAGTGGGCGTGGTCGGCCCGGGGGTCGGGGAGGCCACTCACACAGTAGTAGCAATCTCCGAGGATCTTGATGCGCAGACAGTAGTTGTTCTGGAATCATAGTCAGGATTCAAACTTCAAGAAATGAAAAGAAATCAATGTGCCTATCATTGTACCTGGCAAGTGGTATATGTAGTTGTTAAAATATGTCAAATAGGTTTCCTTTGCATTTTTTTTTTTCAACACGTACGTCTGATGATTATTTGTTCAGTATTTAGAGCGAAAGAATTTTTTCCACATTTTCCTGGACTGTTTATTTTTCGAACAAAACGGTCTGTCCCTGATTTCCCTGGGCGTCACCAAGTTTTGCTTTAGACTTTGGTAATTTCAAGCAGTCTCTTGAGTCCCACATATTTTGATCGAACATATATGAGAGATAATTATCTTTACAGCGGGCCCGTAATAGCCCGTGTGTTAAAAACACGTTATCGTATTTGTGGCTTGCAAGAGCTTTAAGATCCTTCTCGACTGAAAATCGGAATATCAAACAATGTAGAACTTAATTTTGAACTTCAGTGACTCCGCTTTGAAAGCGATTGAATTTTTTTGTAAAGTTTGGTTTGTAATTAAGAGGAATGCATTCAGTATAACATCCGCCCTCGTTGTCTCCTCACTGCAATATCACGTCATAAATACTAGCGGCTTTTCTCTCACACCAGCAAACTAGATCCGAACTCCCATTAATTCACTGTGAGCTGACGCTTATTTAATATTACATGAAAAGCGTTTCAACTCCCGGGATAAAACCTCACTTGTTACGCTGTTCTGTTCTTCATTGGGTAAATGAAATATGGCAGACTTGACAGAATAGTAGTCTCTTGTCCAAGTAACTCGCAAAATGAAACATGACGTGTACTGATTCAATAAAATGTACTTTCCGAGATAGTGGAACATACCTTATATGGCCCTGAAATAAACTTACCTTTGCTAAATGATCAAATCTTCCGAACAGCTCATTTAATATTCTAACCAGTTCCTGTGCTGTGCACTGAGAGGCAAGGTTGGTGAACCCAACTATATCAGCAAATAATATTCTGAAAAATGAGACAAAGGTCGAGTTAATGTGCACGTATAAATGAATTCCCAGTGGATTATGAAACATGAGTAGAAACTGTAATAAACGACCGATCCAGAAGACCAGGTGGTTTACTGTGTACTGGAACCACACAAATCAGAATACTAGCGGATGAGTAGTTCGGATATTCAGGGATTAGAATGAATTATATAATGGCGTTCCAATAAGTTGTTACGGTAAAGTGACTTGAGTTGGCTTTCCCGCCGCGTCTAATTATAGCAGTTCAGCCATATTATAGCGTGTCAAATCAAGGAAGAAAGCCGAAAGTGATGGATGTCTTTGACGTTTTTCATTTTTATGAAACCCGGAAGCAGGTATGGTGCAGACAGAAATAGGATACCAATGCAATAATAATAATAATCGTGGCGAACCCACAACAAGAGGACAGATATGTCGGTTCAAAGAGAATGTCGGATAACACATATGTCGTTTTGGACAGAATGACGGAATACACATTTGTCGGTACACTGTAATAGTGTGTTATGATTAATGCGACTCAATGAGGCTTCAAACACAAATTGGAGATTACACTAAAATTCAGCGAGTTTCGATTGCAGTTTCCTTGAGCTCAACAAACATCAGTAAAGTTGCAGGGTGATTCAGATTGGGTTAATCCTTCGTACAAGCACTTCACCAACAACCACCAGACAATACACCCGAACATCAAACGCTCTAATATCTTAACCAGATCAGCCAGAGGAACTTACGATACGTTATCATGACGTTGTATATAGATTTTGTGAAAAATTCCGTGATGAGGCGTAGTGATATCATTTTTCATCTCCATGGCGACATGTTGAGGTAAGACACTGAGAAGGAGCTTTTCCTGAAAGAAGACATTGGGATCGATTAGGTCTGAGAGGGAGAGTAGAGAGAGATAGAAAGAAGACATTGGGATCGATTAGGTCTGAGAGGGAGAGTAGAGAGAGATAGAAAGAAGACATGGGGATCGATTAGGTCTGAGAGGGAGAGTAGAGAGAGATAGAAAGAAGACATGGGGATCAATTAGGACTGAGGGGGAGAGTAGAGAGAGATAGAAAGAAGACATGGGGATCGATTAGGTCTGAGAGGGAGAGTAGAGAGAGATAGAAAGAAGACATGGGGATCGATTAGGTCTGAGAGGGAGAGTAGAGAGATAGAAAGAAGACATGGGGATCGATTAGGTCTGAGAGGGAGAGTAGAGAGAGATAGAAAGAAGACATGGGGATCGATTATGTCTGAGGGGGAGAATAGAGAGAGATAGAAAGAAGACATTGGGATCGATTAGGTCTGAGAGGGAGAATAGAGAGAGAAAGAAAGAAGACATGGGGATCGATTAGGTCTGAGAGGGAGAGTAGAGAGAGATAGAAAGAAGACATGGGGATCCATTAGGTCTGAGAGGGAGAGTAGAGAGATAGAAAGAAGACATGGGGATCGATTAGGTCTGAGAGGGAGAGTAGAGAGAGATAGGAAGAAGACATGGGGATCAATTAGGTCTGAGAGGGAGAATAGAGAGAGAAAGAAAGAAGACATGGGGATCCATTAGGTCTGAGAGGGAGAGTAGAGAGAGATAGAGAGAAGACATGGGGATCGATTAGGTCTGAGGGGGAGAATAGAGAGAGAAAGAAAGAAGACATGGGGATCGATTAGGTCTGAGAGGGAGAGTAGAGAGAGATAGAAAGAAGACATTGGGATCGATTATGTCTGAGAGGGAGAGTAGAGAGAGAAAGAAAGAAGACATGGGGATCCATTAGGTCTGAGAGGGAGAGTAGAGAGAGATAGAAAGAAGACATGGGGATCGATTAGGTCTGAGAGGGAGAGTAGAGAGAGATAGAAAGAAGACATGGGGATCGATTAGGTCTGAGAGGGAGAGTAGAGAGAGATAGAAAGAAGACATGGGGATCCATTAGGTCTGAGAGGGAGAGTAGAGAGAGAAAGAAAGAAGACATGGGGATCGATTAGGTCTGAGAGGGAGAGTAGAGAGAGATAGAAAGAAGACATGGGGATCGATTAGGTCTGAGAGGGAGAGTAGAGAGAGATAGAAAGAAGACATGGGGATCGATTAGGTCTGAGAGGGAGAGTAGAGAGAGATAGAAAGAAGACATTGGGATCGATTAGGTCTGAGAGGGAGAGTAGAGAGAGATAGAAAGAAGACATGGGGATCGATTAGGTCTGAGAGGGAGAGTAGAGAGAGATAGAAAGAAGACATGGGGATCGATTAGGACTGAGGGGGAGAGTAGAGAGAGATAGAAAGAAGACATGGGGATCCATTAGGTCTGAGAGGGAGAGTAGAGAGAGATAGGAAGAAGACATGGGGATCGATTATGTCTGAGGGGGACAGTAGAGAGAGATAGAAAGAAGACATTGGGATCGATTAGGTCTGAGGGGGAGAATAGAGAGAGAAAGAAAGAAGACATGGGGATCCATTAGGTCTGAGAGGGAGAGTAGAGAGAGATAGGAAGAAGACATGGGGATCGATTATGTCTGAGGGGGACAGTAGAGAGAGATAGAAAGAAGACATTGGGATCGATTAGGTCTGAGGGGGAGAATAGAGAGAGAAAGAAAGAAGACATGGGGATCCATTAGGTCTGAGAGGGAGAGTAGAGAGAGATAGAAAGAAGACATGGGGATCCATTAGGTCTGAGAGGGAGAGTAGAGAGAGATAGAAAGAAGACATGGGGATCCATTAGGTCTGAGAGGGAGAGTAGAGAGAGATAGGAAGAAGACATGGGGATCGATTATGTCTGAGGGGGACAGTAGGGAGAGATAGAAAGAAGACATTGGGATCGATTAGGTCTGAGGGGGAGAATAGAGAGAGAAAGAAAGAAGACATGGGGATCCATTAGGTCTGAGAGGGAGAGTAGAGAGAGATAGGAAGAAGACATGGGGATCGATTATGTCTGAGGGGGACAGTAGAGAGAGATAGAAAGAAGACATGGGGATCGATTAGGTCTGAGGGGGAGAATAGAGAGAGAAAGAAAGAAGACATGGGGATCCATTAGGTCTGAGAGGGAGAGTAGAGAGAGATAGGAAGAAGACATGGGGATCGATTATGTCTGAGGGGGAGAGTAGAGAGAGATAGGAAGAAGACATGGGGATCGATTAGGTCTGAGAGGGAGAGTAGAGAGAGATAGAAAGAAGACATGGGGATCGATTATGTCTGAGGGGGAGAATAGAGAGAGATAGAAAGAAGACATGGGGATCGATTAGGTCTGAGAGGGAGAGTAGAGAGAGATAGAAAGAAGACATGGGGATCGATTAGGTCTGAGAGGGAGAGTAGAGAGAGATAGGAAGAAGACATGGGGATCCATTAGGTCTGAGAGGGAGAGTAGAGAGATAGAAAGAAGACATGGGGATCCATTAGGTCTGAGAGGGAGAGTAGAGAGAGATAGGAAGAAGACATGGGGATCAATTAGGTCTGAGAGGGAGAGTAGAGAGAGATAGGAAGACGACATGGGGATCGATTATGTCTGAGGGGGAGAATAGAGAGAGATAGGAAGAAGACATGGGGATCGATTATGTCTGAGGGGGACAGTAGAGAGAGATAGAAAGAAGACATTGGGATCGATTAGGTCTGAGAGGGAGAGTAGAGAGAGATAGAAAGAAGACATGGGGGTCGATTAGGTCTGAGAGGGAGAGTAGAGAGAGATAGAAAGAAGACATTGGGATCGATTAGGTCTGAGGGGGAGAGTAGAGAGAGATAGAAAGAAGACATTGGGATCGATTAGGTCTGAGAGGGAGAGTAGAGAGAGATAGAAAGAAGACATGGGGATCGATTAGGTCTGAGAGGGAGAGTAGAAAGATAGAAAGAAGACATGGGGATCCATTAGGTCTGAGAGGGAGAGTAGAGAGAGATAGAAAGAAGACATGGGGATCGATTAGGTCTGAGAGGGAGAGTAGAGAGAGATAGGAAGAAGACATGGGGATCGATTAGGTCTGAGAGGGAGAGTAGAGAGATAGAAAGAAGACATAGGGATCCATTAGGTCTGAGAGGGTGAGTAGAGAGAGTAGAGAAAGAAGGTATGTATTACGCATGTACAGCTCAGAGTATATTTCAAACAAACGATCTTCCAGCATAACTCATTATGACTTGTGCCAATCATATGTTGACAAGCACAAGGGACGAGGGACGGCGACCTAGTCCTACATGCTCCTGTCTGCACAGGGTCAGTATAGTGTTAGATCCCATCAACATTTCAGGGGAAACGCCAAGGACAGACGTAACCTCCACTACGTCTTGTCTGACAGACACACACGCTCTTGTAATTCTCATAGCTTTCACCTTAAGGAATCAACAATGTGCTTTAGGAATCAACAACGTTTCCTCTTTTTAATATTACCTTTAAAAATACCGTGCATACCAAGTAGTGGAACTTAATGTCTATCTCAAATGTCAGCTGGAAAGACGACATATAGGTTAAAGGACTGTTCGATGCCCACTGCAGTCTTTCCGACAACTTCAGAACAAGTCAATCGGTTGCACCTGCCGAACCTTGCCGCTTAACTCACAAGATCAGCTGTTGCCATGTCTGCTTTAACATACCAAGTATAGAACTCACGCACATGCCACATCATGTTACTGATAGCTGTATACACCAGGGGACACTTGGACACCGCGTATGTTCCGTGTCATGTCATCAACCGTGGCATCGCCAAAAGTGAAGTTTGCCTTTATGTGGACTTATTCTTACACATTATTTTGTAACATTTCAAAACTATCAACCACCAAGTAGGTGCCAGCAGATATATCCACCTTAGCCACCATGGATAACACGTTTGAAATCGCGTCATAGCGTTACTAATTTCCTCTTTTTAATACAATCATCCGGCAGACCCATGGTTTCGTAGTAACTCTGGATGGATATGTTCAAGACGAACCGCCGACATGATACGACATTAGTTCACACAAGACCCGATGTTACTATTGTTGTATTGTTGTATTGTTTTGTCTGTACACGTGTGCCAACACCGTGAAACCTGTATCACAAACTGACAGAAAGTCTGCCCAAGCGTATGTATACTTACCAATTTTTCATTTTCCTCCTGTATTTCTAATCTAGCTGCTATACAGTTGCGTGTGTCAATGAACGTTTTTCTCTGAGACCTCTGTGTGAGATAATGAATAAATATCCCTGCTATGTTGACGCTCAGAAAGAGCACACCATTCGCCACAAGCTGGAAAAGAAAAAGATAACATCAACAAACGTAGAATCCAAATATTTGATACACTGTCAACATATATAAGCAGTTCAATCGTCTTATCTTCAGATGGTTTGTTTGTTGTCTAGCACCGCATTCAGCAATAATTCAGCCATCTGACGGTTATCTGTAAATAATCGATTTTGGAGAAGATAAACCAGTGTTTGATACTATGAGCAACGTCCCAACATCGGATAACGAAGTATAAATATATATATCTACATTCTGCAATAATTATTCTATCTAATTATTCAAGGAAGATAATATTTTAAGTGAGTGAATATGGTTTTACGACGCTTTTGGTGCTAACATTTTCAGCACTAATATTACGACAGGGGACAACAAGTTTCACTTAGAAACAATACAATCGCAATGGGACGTACACATATGACTGTATATTTAACTATCAAATATCCAGTGAAACAGTATATCATAAAGTTCCGTTCGATCGTTGTAACCGAATTGAGCATGTTAAGACTTGTTGAGCAAACGTGAAAACCGTAAATTATTCAATAATTTTATTCAATAATGTTTTCTTGGACTTAGGCTTTCAAGCGACCAATGTAGGCATGACCTAGACTCTGCCATCCGTCATTATCGTTTTCTTTAAATTTTATTTGTTTCAAAGCCGAAAGCCCAAGGATACAATTACTACTCCCGTGCCAACCACGTCTCCGGGGAAACCATACGAATGAAAACCCAATCTCAGATATACAAACATAAAGATGACTGAACATGTCAGAAACTGTGACAAGGAAAACTTACAAAGATCGTTTCGTTTATATAGAAACCGTTGTTCTCTGTGGGTGATTACGTCTAAAGTGCAATTCGATTTCACATCTAAAAAGGTGTCCTTGATACACGTCTTCTGCATTTTTAACCTTTGCAAACACACCTTTGCCTTGCTATATAGAATACTTAGATGTCAAATTCAACAATAACATCAGTTTCATTTAATTCTATCACGTATGGCCACAGACGATTTTGTTAGGTTCAATATTTACGTCTCAATTACGATAAATAAATAAGTTCATGAACCTCGCTAAAACAGGAACGGAGTGGTTGACTTAACACTAGATAATCCTAGCATGCTTAATTATGAAAATAATGAGGGCTAAATAGGACCACGTGGTCCCTCATGTTTGACATAAAGCTGCTTTATACGGTATTATAGTTCCAGTGCTTGAGCTTAATGTGGGAGGGAGTTTCGACGAGACGGAGCTTGTACACGTCGCCCACTTTGGTGAAAAGCGAATGAGCGGTAATGAAGCAAACAACTCGGGGATCGTAATCGGGTGGAATCCAGAATCCGAACCCATGACCCTGCCACGACCTAGACCCACATACAGAGAGTTGTGGCACATTTTACCACAAGACCACCTATGTCAGGAGTATGCATTGTACAAACATTATCTGAGGAATATGATGACCAAATACAAAAAGCACCTGTCTGGTTATTGCTTTATCCCACCATTGCGCTTCAACACAACCCGGTACTGGCAGTGAAAGCTGCCTCTTTGAGCGTAGCTGCACATAAACATCAGGAGTGGGTACTTTAACTAATGCATGTCAAAGATATTTCAGTACTTTCTCTTAACTTCCTTTCTTTGGTCGTGACATGTCTGTATATCGGCTGGTTAACCAAGGCATTTACTTTCCAATCAGAACGGTAGAAACAGTATTTGTTAAGTCCCTGGAAGGGTCCGCTTGTGCAGTTTAGTTTCCTACTATGTATGAAGGATCGATTTTGCGTTCCCTTCGTTACTTTGGAACACTTGATATTTCACTGATTAAGTACCTATATGAAAAGCACCATTTCAAACAACATCCATAAATTGGAAGTGCTGCTATGTGCAACACGTTTATTGCCAACGACGCCCCCGGAATGTTTGTTCCAGTAGTCTGTATACACAGGGGTCAGTCCTTAGCCTGGATACAAAACAATAATACTGTCAGCATTGAGCACAGACAAGAATAATTGGTTTGGATTTGGCAACTGTGAAAATGAAGTCGTAAAATCCTGTTTATATATCCTCATACTGCACAGACAAAATCGTATTCTATCGTCACGAAGGCCAAAATTGATCTCTGCTGTCCAGATCAATTAAGTAAACTGAATTAATGACAATAAGTGACAATCTGTTACCACGGAAACCCGCGAGTCACGCAAAGTTTCACAAGCGTTTGCTTGATATTGAAACTAGAACAAAAGAAAAACATGGAATCATCCAATATATAGCAAAAAATAGTTGTTTTGTTGACTCCCATAAGAGAAGGAGCAGCTGGGAAGTAACTAGTCCTGCACCATGACCGTGGAATATATTTATTTTATGAAAAAATAATAATCTAGAAATGCATACAAAAGCAAGTCTAGCCAGCTCAAGCTAGCTCCCAGCATAGGGAATCTTTTTTTTATTTTTAGAGTCAAGAAGGATATTGTGTAATATAAGATTTCAGAGACTGAATGTTAGTCTAGGAAGTAACCTACACAGGGGTGACTTGCCGTGTCACCGGTTTAAACTTTGGGGTAAAATGCGTTAATGAGAGTGAATTAAGTGAGGAGAGTTTTCCCGATTTCAGACTGTTGTGTGCTTTTTGCAGAGTTGATTTCCAGACGCATAACCCACCGGTTCCAGTGCTCCTTCTGATTTCAGAAAGCCTCTGAAAATTTAGCTGCATCATGAAGAACCCGACAAATTCCAATAATTAATCACCGAAGAGTAGTTTTTCGCAGAATCCCACACTTGTCAATACTAAAAGGAGATGCTTCACCTGGTGGATCCGTGTGAATGTGTCCATATAGGATCCGTTTATTATGCACATCATTGCTCAGTGAAAAATAGTCATGAAAGGTAAGTAAATTGTTCACGGAAAAAAAGGGAAGATTGGGTATCATTTTTGTCAATGACGTGTCAAATTTGAGGCTTTGAACAACTTTTCAACTATTGTGCAAGTGTCGGTGGACACTCTTTGATATCATCACAGAAACAGCATGCACGATTGTATCCCAAAAGTTGTAGAAACCCCTTCTTACAGAACAATCAATGCGTGTTTGTATAAGACATGACATAGTAGTGTTAGTAAACCTTGCAGTTCAAGTGAATGTATCCCACTCAACGACTGAATGACCATCGATTATAAACAACAACAGGAGGTATCTTAGAGAAGGCTCATTAACTTCATACTAATTTGAATTTACAAGACAGCATGTTTAGTTGAACTACCGCGTCTCTGGGACAAGAAATCTGTACAGAATTACTACTACATGTACCTTGAACACCTCTTCACTAGATGTGACTGGTCGGATTCAGGTATATACCTACATCTCCACTGGGACTGATTTTGCCTGAGCCAGACCAGGCTTCTTTGCGTTACCAGATAAAAGGACTCTTGCACTAACCGGCAGGTACATCTCTCCCTCGACAGTCGCTCTGTCACACGTGTGAAACAATTACCTAGGATTTGAGCTGTACGATTCCGACTGTATCGGAAGCAATCATCACTGTAAAAAAGTGATTATACGATCACTTTCAAAATAATAATGATTATACCAAGTGTTCGTGAAAATGTGATCGTATCCTGCTCCACCGGTGGCACCCGTCACACAAACAACACACGCAAAGGAAAGTCAAGTGTTCACAGGAAAAAACACGTGATCTTATGTTACAAGTCAAAATAGGGAATTGTGTCGGCGGACATCATGTTTGTCACTGATGCGTCAAATTGGGACATTTCGTCCACATGGCCACCATAAACTTGATGACAGTTTTGAAATCATCGCAGAACGAGCATGCTCGATTGTACCTCAAAAGTTGTAAAATGTAGACATAAAAAGGAAAGTTGACTTTAAGAAAGTTGAAGTCATCCCTCTTGTCATACTGTGTGTTGGAGACCTTTTTATCACTCTTGGTCTTTCCACATAGATGGTTTCACTGCTCTGTTTTATTTCTAAGTCAGGAGACTAAATCAGTGGAAGGGAATTGGCAATTTGACAATTATTGAATCAATATATCTGAAGCTTAAGTTGAACTTCTGTCCAAATTCCCTTGCCAATCCGATCAGAAATTCGAAATTCAGTGCACAAAAACGAATCAGTAAGAAGGGTTAGATTGGTATCGATGCGGATGTCTTCTTCTTGCCTAAATTTCTCATCCCCAGATTTCACATGAACGTAATCAACGAGAAAGTCCAGTACGTCACCCAGTAAAACTACAGATGCCATTTGCTTTCCTATTTGAGAAACTTTTCTGCACCTGTGAAGATCTCACGACGTAAGTATATCTTTGGTCACCACGTTTTTAACAAATGGCCTATGCATCACCAAATGGAGTTGTTCCTTAAGTTTGTCATGTGGGCTAGTGGTGTTCAAAGTTGAAAAATCAAATATCTTGACATAATAGAACGTGGTTCTTTTCTAAGATTGCAAAACTTCGAGCAAATCATTTGAAGTCTTGACAATCAAAATGGTAATAATTTACACATTCCATGATAATCACAAGAACTTCAGTTAATCATACTTTGCACCACAACTTTGATACAACGGGAAAATGTAAGTCACGGCAAACACGAACATTTACACTCTGATGATATTCAGGAATATTTCTCTGTAGCGAGATACACGTAGTTTCTTCTTCATATCAAAGACATTTATGTTTTCAGACATTAGAACTTTTCATCCCAAGTATTTTTGCACACTCAGCACGATTGGAATGCTCCTGGCCATCATCGAAGATAAACGCACGAAAATTGATTTTTCCAAGCTTGCCTTTAAATACAGGAGATCGATATCACCAGAGAAGGTCTGTGGCATTTCCAAATCCTCTTCGGATTTCATCCAGTGTCGTCCAGGAAAGCTGGCTTTTTGCGATAATCCCTTTCCAGACTTTCCAAGCAAAATCGTATTGGCCATAAGGTGGTTTAATTCTGCTGGGAGAGGGTTTCAGTATAGGCCTGTCTTTAAAATCGGCTGTGTGGTG